TTTAGAAAGTTCACTCTGGCCTGGTGCAACAGTATCCTTTGCTTTATAAAGTTCACTCTGGGTGGGAGCAGTGGACCATGCCTGTAATCCCAACAGCTCTGGAGGCTGAGACAGGAGGATGGGGAGTTGTTCAAAGCCAGCCTTAGCAACGGCAAGGTGCTAAGCAACTCAGTGAGATCTTGTCTCTAAATAAAAAAAAATAAATAAAAATACAAAATAGGGCTGGGGATGTGGCTCAGTGTGAAAGGAAAGTGACCACAACACTTGGAGTGACCAAGAGATCTTTATTGTGGTGGTGTCTGATTAACAGGGAAGGAAGAGAAAAAGCGAGAGAGGGAGACAGCAGGGAAAGAGATCGCGCAGGAGTGGAAGAGAAGGTGGGGGAGCGAGCCTGCAGGAGACGGTTTTTATAGCCAAATCTAATGAGGGTCTCTGGGTCTGCAGGCTACCTTGATGGTGTACAGTGATTGGATCATATAGTAGTTGCTAAGGGTGTCATCTTCTGCCCTGAGGCAGATTGGGCACGGGCCAGGTGTGGGGCTGAGTGTTCAGCCTTGAGTGGGGTTGAGTGCTCAGACTTGAGGCAAACAAGTGATAAGGAAGCAGACAGAGGGGGTCGAGTATTCAGCCCACCCTACAGCTAACATTTGTTCAGCCTGCTCCACAACTAACATAGTGGCCGAGTGCCCCTGAGTACAATTCCCAGTACCAAAAAAAAAAAAAGAAAGTTAACACTCTGACCATATTGCATACAGTGAAATATGAAGGGAAGCAAGACAAAAGACAACCAGCAGAGGCTACAGTGGTAGTAGTGAAGATGAAGAAATGCATCCAGGAATTGGAATATTTAGAAGAAGGAATTAGTAGGACAAATATGGAAGTAAAAGAGAGGGGTTAAGGTAGCTTCCCAGGTGTTAATCTCGGGCATTTGTGTGGATGGTGGAACCATTGCCAAAGCTGGACACAGTGGAGGAGCAGTTGATTATGGGTAGCAGAACATTCTAGACACATTCAACTTGAGATGTCTATAAAGTAGCTACGTAGCTGGTTTAAACATCCAGGGTCCGAGTCCCCATAGTACCTTCTGCTCTTCACAGCAGTACCTGGTACACAGCTTGCACTTATTGTTAAGGAAAGAAGGAAAAAATCCAAGTAGGTTTGGAGGTCAGGTAAACTGGAGACATACAGATATCACTATTTAAAAAGAGTGGATAAAACCACTCAGGAGTATTAAGTTAGAAGAGAGCATAAAAAGTCCTGGAATCCAGCATTGATGAGCCAGGTAATAACAACCACAACAAATCCTTACTGAGTACTGCATGCCAATTTCCAACTTAGTTGAAAATATACTTCCTTCCATATATATAATCCCTCCCTAGGAGAACTGATTTAAGTTGTGGGGAACTGATGACTACTGCTCTTATTCATATTAGTAACAGATACTGAGTGGTTAGTGTGTAAGCACTGTTCTAAGTATTTTCATCAATTCTCACAAACCCATGAGCATGGTTAAATACTCATAAGCAACTACAGAGACAGAGAGGGTGCAGACACAGAAGAGTGGATAATTAAAAGAATGGGGGAAGGGGAATGATGCTAGCCTTGGACAGAGGGGATCTCTTTCACTATCAGGAGAAAAGAACAGAGGCAGAGAGAACACGGATATATTAAAGCAAAATTACGGAATTTGTTTTCTGAATATCTAAAAACTTAAAATATGCTAGCAAGGTATTTTAATTGGTTTGATGAAAGTTAATAACAGGGCTGGGGTTGTGGCTCAGTGGCAGAGCACTTGCCTGGCATGTGTGAGGTCCTGGGGTAAATGCTCAGCACCAATTATAAATAAATAAATGGATGAATGGATGAATAAATGAATAAATAAAAAATAATCCATTGACAACTAAAAATGATTTTTTAAAAAGTTAATAACAAAGTATTATAGGAATTAAAGAGAGGAAGGGAGTGGTTCTGTCTTAAGTTCAGCAGGCAGAGGTAGGAGGAAGTTGGGTAGGTTTAACATATTTTTTTCTTTTGGTACCAGGAGGTGCTTAGCCATGGAGCACATCCCCAGCCCCTCTCCCTTTTAAATGTTTATTTCCTTACCTTTATTTTATTTATTTTTATATGGTACAAGGATCGAACCCAGGGCCCCGCGCATACTAGGTGAGCACTCCACCACTGAGCCACAACCCCAGCCCCACATCCCCAGCTCTTTTCAAACTTTTTTTTTTTTAAAGTTCTCCCTAAATTGCTTGAGGCCTCAATAAATTGCTGAGGCTGGCTTTGAACATGGGAGCCTCTTGCCTTAGCCTGAACCCCCAGCTGCTGGGATTACAGGAATGTGCCTCTGTGCCTTCTTCAGCTTAACATTTTTTTTTCCAACTTTTTAAATTTGTTTAAATTAGTTACACATAAAAGTAGAATGTACTTTGATACATCATATATAATGGAGTATAATTTCTCATTGTTCTGGTTATACATGATGTAGAATCCCACCGGTGGTATAGTTACATAAGTACATAGGGTAAGCTTAACATTTCTTGAACACACACAAAGTACCAGGTTTATCTGAGGCTTTCAGGATCTCCATATGGGAAATAAATGGAGATTGCTGTACCCATTCTTCATTCTTCTGTCCCAGGAATTTCATTTCCCTTTGAAGATTCCATGCCTACTTGTTGTCATATTGATGAGACATATGATCAGGGTGCTCTGGCCAGAGAGAGAACATGAGGCTTAAAGTTCTCTACTAGGAAGTTATATCTTTAGATGAGTGACACAAGAAACAAGAACCCGGGTTGTGGGTATAACTCAGTGGTGGAGCACATGCTTAATATGTACAAGGCCTTGGCTTCAATCTTCAGCACCAAAAACAAACCAAAAAAAGGAAAGAATAGAGTTGGGCGCAGAGGCACATACCACTGAGGATAGTGAGTTCAAAGCCAGCCTCAGCAAAAATGAGATGCTAAGCAACTCAGTGAGACCCTGTTTCTAAATAAAATACAAAATAGGGCTGGGGGTGTATGTAGCTCAGTGGTTGAGTGCCACTGAGTTCAATCCCCAGTCCAAAACAAAACAAAACAAAAAACAGGAATGGGTCACCACCTTAAAATATATGCCCAGGAATTCCTGCTCCATGGATCTCTGGGACTGACCCAGTTCTTTTTAAAATATATTTTTATTGTTTTCTTTTTTTTTTTTTTAGTTGTAGTTGGACACAATATCTTTATTTTTATTTATTTATTTTTATGTGGTGCTGAGGATCGAACCCAGGGCTTTGCACATGCTAGGCAAGCGCTCTACCTCTGAGCCACAACCCCAGCGCCTGACCCAGTTCTTGTCCTTATTTTAAAATTTTTTTCAGGTCTTGTCCTTCTGAAAGCTGATGCTTAGGTCCTTCCTTCCATTCCAGGAGCCACCCCACGTTTTCCACAAATTCCCAATTTGATAAGGTTAGTCAGAGCCTGTGTCCATGCCTACAACCAAAGGACCCTGATGCCACATATAGCCACTTAGAGAATATGTGCCAAGAATGGCAGGCAGGTGGGACTGTAGTTGACCCAAATCTTTCCCTGCCCCCTTTCCCTGTTTGTTCACAGTCCTTACCATAGGAATGGGACAATGGCCTGGCTCTTTTCAGTCTGACAAATTTGGGAAAATTCACTGTCTCCATCACCAAGTCTCATTTTTCCTTCCTTCCTTTCTTTCTTGTGAGACTGGGAATTGAACCCAGCTCTGGTCTCCTGACTCAACCTGCCAACTTGTTGGGATTACAGGTGTGTGCTACCTTGCTCATCGAGCCTTGCATTTCCTTCAGTGCCATACCTCATACCTAATAATTTTATTTATTTATGTTTTTTGGTACTGGAGATAAAATCAGGGGTTCTTTACCACTGAGCTACCTCTCCAGCCCTTTTTTATTATTTATTTTGAGGCAGGGTCTCACAAAGTTGCTTAGGGCCTTGCTAAATTGCTGAGGCTAGTCTTGAACTTGTGATCCTCCTGTCTCAGCCCCCTGAGCTGCTGGGATTATAGGCATGTACCACCACACTCAGCCCACTATCATGGACTTACACTACACAGTAATTGCCACGACACATGTCTAAACCAGTCGGGGTCACTCCGGGTGAATTGGGCTAGAACTAAATAACCATGCAGACAGAGAAAGTACCTTTTTCTTGTGGTTCTGTGTCAGCTCCTCTGCCCCAGCTCCAACAAGTGTGGCAAGAGAGGCAGGCAAAAGAGAGAGCCTAAAGCCCTATTTATTGGGAGGAAGACACTCAAGCAGGTTCCACCCAAATGAGGCTGTAATTGCTTGCTGAGCGAAGCTGAGGTCCACTTGCTTCTGTGCTGCTAACAAGCCAGTTCCACACCTTCATTGTTCAAGGCTAAGGGTACTTGCTCAGCTCCTACATGTTCAGCTCCTGTTCATGGCGGCCGGCAACAAGCAATTACTTATCTAGCTTAGTAGTTGTAAACTCTTTGAGGGCACAGTATTAATCACAGTCTAGCACAGTGCTTTGCACTGTTTGTAGAATAAACCAAATGTTATACATAATACAGAAAGTTGAGGGAGCTCATGGGTAAAAATCACATTAAGTCAGGCTTAGTGGCAGACACTTGTAATCCCAGTGACTAGGGAGGCTGAGGCATGAGGACCACAAGTTAAAGCAAAAAATACAAAGGGCTGGGGATGGAGCACTGATAAAATGCCCCTGGATTCAATTCCCAGTATTGTAATAAATAAATAAATAAATAATGAAAGTGGGTCCACCCCTTCAAAAAAAAAGAAGACAATACTAAGTAACACCTGGGGTATAAAGTCTGAAAGGTAAGGTTACTCAAGGTTAAGTCCAGGACAGTATTCTCTATGAATAACCCTGAAAACATCCCGTTCTTCCACCACTGCCGAGCTGCAAAAGAAACACTTGTCTCTGCAGCTCTGTTCTCAGATGTTCTCATCTCTTCCACACAAATGAATCAATCCAGTCCACTGTCACTTTAGATTTCAGGGCAAAGTTTATTAGAAGAAATTAAGTAACTGTAAAATTTCCCTCCACCCCAATTCCAATATTTATGCCTCCACCTCTCAACAGAGGGGCTGTCTCAAATGTGGGTGGAATGAAAAGGTGGCGTGCTCCCCTTGCACAGTTACTCCTTAGCCTTCAGCATGTGCAGTCTTAGCCCTGAGTCCCTCTGACCATGGCAATTGTTCAGAGCAGTGCTACTCTGACAGCATTTTAGGTCAGTTGCTATCTCCTGAGTTCACTGATCACCTGTGATCAATATACAAATCATCAGTGGTCAAAGGTAAACGAGAGGCACAGGCTGCTGGGGGATTATCCTCTAATAAAGAAGGTTCTAGAAATGACACCTAGAATGCTCAACTTGATAAAGTGCTCACCTACATTAAAAACAAGATGTTGGGAAGGTGTCCACTGGTGAGAAAGAAACGTTCACTCTGAAGGGATTCTGGAAGGGTTCAATAAAAAAGTACATAGGAGCTGGGGGAGTAGCTCAGTGGTAGAGCACTGCTCTAGTGTGAAAGGACCTAGGTTTCATCCCCTGTACTGGGAGATAGGGGGTGGGGGAGGGGAGAACTTTTTTTTTTAAACATAAAAAGAACTCTGCTCACATCATTCCAGCAATGACAAGGGAAAGGAAAACTTAGAGCTTAGTCACTGAATTACTAGCATTCCAAATTAAACATATCCTAGTTGGAGACCAGCTCCTTTAACTTCTTGTGGAAACTAAAAAAAAAAAAAAACATTTATCATTGTTTCATTTTGCTCTAACTCTTCTTTCACTAAATAACCTTCTAATCTGAAATCTAGTTTCCTCAATGGTATCAACACTACAAAAAGAAAGTCCAAGATGGGCAAGTAATCAATTTAAGTATGGCCTATAAAACACTTTTCTATAGAGTGATTAGTAAAAATCTGAGGTGAGAAATCTGAGCTTCCAATCTGCCAGTTTGAGGTCTATACTCCAAGAATAAGGGGTCCATAATATATCTAATCTCTTGACATGATTACAAGATCCAAGACTAGGGTAGGGAAGGGTAAGTAAGCATCAGCAGCAGTGGCTATCTTGTTCTACAATTTAGTGTATGGCCCCAGCAATCACTTGTAAGTCCAGTGGGCAGTGGCCCAGCCCTGACCCTTGCACAAGTCTCGGTGGCGAAGGAAACAGGCATGGACACGGAACCGACGGCCACAATGAGGACAGGCATGCAAGGCTCCAGCATGGGTCTTCATGTGCTCGGTCAGATGGTGCTTCAACTTGAAGCGCTTGTTGCAGATGCCACAGCCAAAAGGCCGAAGGCTGAAGGTCAGCATGATGTGCCTGTCACGCTTTGGCTTTACTGCAAAGCGCTTCCCACACAAGCAACCAAAGCGTTTTCCATCTGCAGGGGGTGCTCCCCCTAGCTTCACAGGCCCATGTACAGCCTGCCCTGCTCCCCCAGGTCCTCCACCCCCTGACAAGATTTCATTTCCATGAAGATCCACTGGCTTCCAGGATGGACTCCCTCCCCCAGATGTTGCCCCTGCTCCTGAGGGCAATAAGAATCTCAGCTCCCCATTCCCTTCAGTGTCTCCCCCAGGAAACACTTTGGTTTCCTCCTTTGCTCCTCCAGACTGAGTTCCACTTCCTGATATCTCCTCCTTAGGCTCAAAGGGTTCCTGCTTGATATAGAAAATTTTGGGGGGTAGTGCGGTAGGTGGGGCAGGAGGTTCAAGTGACGCACTCTCACTCTCTGGAAGCCTGCGGGGAGTAGCAGATATGGGTACTGGGTGGGATCCACGAGCCCGAGGAAAACCTCCTGACACTCTCTGTGGTTGAGGAGTTTGAGATAGTGTAGCTGCTGATCCCTGGTCTTCCTCTTCCTCCTCCTCCTCTTCTTCCTCCTCCTCCTCCTCCTCCTCCTCCACCTGAATTTGTAACACCTCTCCTAGTTCACTCTCCTCCCCTCCCACCGGGCTTTCAGTGGATGCAGGACTCTCAGTAGAAGCAGAGGACTGCACTGGGGTCTGAAAAGGGGAAGAGCGAATACACCAGCCTCCAGATGAAGACGTGGTGGAAAGAAGTGCATGGTAGGAGGTTGCTCCACGAGCTGAAATTCCACCACCTGAACTTTCTAGTTCTCTAAGAATCTCTGAACACTGATCTACTACTTGCCACATCTGAAGGCCACTGGCTACAAGGAGATGGGCAGGGAGAGCATCCAGGGGAAGGCGAAGGCGCCCTGAATAAATGAGCTGAAGTAGCCCTTCAAAGGCATCAGCTTCAATGACACTTGGCAAGGTGAGACGAGGTGCATCCCCAAGAAGCAGCTTGTCATGGAAGTAGGGAGAAGCAGCAGCCAACACTGCTTTATGAGCTCTAAGTTCCCGGCCCTGCACCAGAAGCGACACATCACAGAACTTTCCCTCTAGCCTATGGCGGTTCAGGGATTCCAGCAAAGACGAGCTATGTTGAGGGAACTCGATCTGGATTGTCCGAGGGGCTGGATTGCAGATCGGGGAGGTGGGTGCAGGAGGTAAAGGTGTCGAGGTATCCATGGGCTCCTCGGAAAAATCCCAGAGGATCGGGAAGAAATGGGAATTTGGGGGTAGACAAAAGCTGTGGAAAAAAGAAACAGGAGTCACAGAAACCCTGGACAAAGTTCCCCTTGTCTTCTCAAACAACTGCCCCCAACTAACAATTGGATGTTTCAGTAAGTGACACTTTCTGCAGATCAGTCCCGCTCACCCTGGGAAAAAAAAAAAAAAAAACAACAAAACACCAACCGGGGTTTAACTTCCAGGCCCCGAGGGAGATGAGGAGGTAATCCTTCAGCAAAGCCTGACCTCGCCAGCCGCGGGCGGCTCCTGCCCCGCCGCTCCGATCCGTTTCAGGGTGCACACAGAAGCAGGCTCGCGGCAAGCCTCCGACACCACGAATCTGGATCCGGTAGCCTTCTCCTCCGACACGCCCCCACCGTTACACAACCGGATCAGACTTCTCCAGACCCTTTCAGCTACTGCGTCGTTCCGGGCCGGAAGCCACGGCCTCTCCGTCGGTCACCGCCTCCGCGTGCGCAGGGCGGAGCTAGGACCGAAGCCAATAGGAGAGCGGCGTCCTACAAGCCCCGTGATGATTGGTTATGCTGGCGAGAAAGGCGGGGCTGGTAGGAGGCCGCTGATCCCCAGACGTCAGCGGTTGGCCTTGTCAGGTGCTGCAGAGTCCCGGCAGCGGCGGAGGCTCCGGAGCTGGTTCTCAGTAGAGCGCAGCCCTTCAAAGCTACGTTTCTTGGTAATTAAGAGTAGCGCCCGCCCCCCAGCAGGTGCGGAGAGGGGCAAAATTAATTGGGTACCTATTGTGTGGGATGGGCACTTACCCCCATTATTTCGTGTTCTACCACCAGCCATGAGAGGTAGGTGTTCCCGTCCTGTTTCCATGCGGGGAATCGGAGGCTGGCAAGAATCATTGGGCTGGCAAGTAGAGGGCGTGGATCCCGGATTTACTAAGGAACCAGTTTGGTTTTATTTTTCACTACTCGCATGTAAGAATTTTAACCAACAATTTAAGCCTTATTTATAGGTAATTTCTTTTAAAGAATAAACGTAGATTTATACTGGAACTCTCATCAAATACCATCCCTGCTCCTTAGAGCTATGTGAAGCAGTGGGTGAGAGGAGAGCTGAACCCCTGTTCTAAAACAGAATAAATCTCGCTGAATGGGAGGGTGATCGTAGACAATGAGATCATAGCATCAAGGCAGAGATATACGGCTTGGTTCCGGGGCATGTGGAAGGTTCCAGGTTTAATACACAGCATTGCAATTAAAAAGTAGTTCTCATCACCTGTTGGTCAATCTGGAGATCCCAGGCTAATAAAGTCAGTGCAGCGATAAAAGAACAATCTCCGTTTATTAAACATGATTTTTCTGTTTCACCACACACTCCAGAAAAAAAGGAAATGGGGCTGGGAGTGGAGAAAAGGGGACAGTGGTGGGGGATAGAGAAGGCTGGGACTGGGGCAGGGAGAACGAGAAAACAAAATAAAACTAAAACGGGTAGGAAGAGCATCTCCCTACCCTGAAGGGGGTGGGGGGGAAGGGGAGGGTCGGGGGGGAGGGGGCCAGGAAGCTCTGTACAGAGGGGGGTCGCCCCCAGCCCACACACACACACCCCGATATGTACAGTACAAACCCCAGATAATTACAACAGCCAAAGAAGAGAGGAAAGGGTCCAGGGGTAGGGCCTGAAGTGGGGAAAGCAGAGGAAAGGGCACAGGGATAAAATTTCACATATTTACAACTTTTATATAAGTATAAATTTGGCCCCGGCTGGGTGTATGTGTGTAGAGGGATGGGACTGAAGGGGAACTGTCCATACAAAAGAAAGAAGGGTGGAATCTGGGAAGAATCTCAATACCAAACGCAAGAAGGGATGAGGGGGCAAGGCTGAGTAGGGGACAGCAGTCAGGGAGGAGGGGGTGCCAGGGAGGGACATCTCCCCTCCCAGGGCCTACCCACCCCAAACCCCATCCATCCTTCCTCCCCTATCCCGCCAGAGAGCTATGTACAGAGAAACACCGAAAAATTGTGGAGCTGGCGGGAGGGAGGGAGGTGAAAAGAGATTGGGGGGGGGAGGATGAGAGGGAAGCCCAGCCCTGTCCTACCTCCCCAGGGGGACAGAGTCATGGAAGGGGGCCCCCAACACCCCTCCTCCAACACAGGTCCCCCCACCCTGGGGGAGAGAGACATGGCTTTTCCTAGAGTAAGTTCCCCCCTCCCCCTGGGAGTAGAGACCAAGAGAGAGGGGAGGGGCAGGGGACTGTGTGTGTCAGGGTAGGGCAGATAATCAGTCTGTCCTCCCTGACACACACACTCTCCTAACCCTAACCCCTCACCCTAACCTCAATTCCACCCCACCCCAACACACTGGGGGAGGGGGGGGCATAAGCCCCCTCACCCCGCTCTGGGACCAGCCGAGAGCAGATCAGGTGTGGGAAGAAGGGGAGACAGCTCCCATTCCCCCCTTGCCGCCCCCTCCCTGCCCCGGCGGCCCCCTCCACCCCATCTGGGTTCTGGGTGGGGAGGGAATAAATTTAAGAGTGGTAGGAGGAGTAGGAGTTTGTGCGTGCTGAGCCCCCCCAGACGCTCCTGAGAAATCAAGGGGTAATAGGGCCCCCTCACCCGGGGTCCCCTCCCCATTACAAGGGGGGCAGGGGAGGCCAAAAATGGGGCGGTGGAGAGGAGTTAGATTGTCAGCTCTGGTTACTGCTAAAAAATCACCCTGAAGTTGAAAGTTTGGAGGTGCCACACCCCCAGGGTGGGGGGTGAGGGTCTGTCCCCCAGTGCTCAGGGGAACGATGAGGCAGAGGATGGGGGTAGCACCCCGGAGTGAAGGGGGTCTGTGTGGGTTAGGAGGTGTCCTGGGGCAAGGGTCCCTGGGGGTCAGAGGGGGCAGCACCCCGACAGGAAGGAAGAGAGGGCGGCTGAGGGTTCCCGCTCTCCCTCCTAGAAATGGTGCAATGGGGGTGGAGGATTGGTGACCCCCAAGGAGGCATTCAGGGAGGCAATCCCACTGTCCCTCGGTGACGTCCAGTCCTGGTGGTTGGTGCTGTTCCGGGGTGGAGTGCACGGGGAAGGAGAAGAAGGTCTGTGATGCTGGGTGGGCTAGTGGTCTGCGGTGTTTCGGAACTCGCCGTTCTCCGTGATCTGCAGCCGGGGTGGGGGGGGCGGGGCTGGGGGGGCCAGGCCGTTCCAAGGTGGGGCCAGCGTCACACGCGGGTTTGTTGGACCCAAGGGGGGAAGCTGCCTCTCCTGCAAGATACCAAAGAGGAGAGCGCGGACTTATTGAGACGCTTCGCAGGGGCCTGGATGCCAGACCCCTATCAGTGACCTCCCCACTAGCCAACCCACTCCATAAGCCATGTCCACCCGCTCCTCCCAGGACAATCCCCACCAGCCTCCTGTTTTTTCTCACCTGTAGGATCCTCTGGGATCAGGTAGAGACTCATTTCCCAGACTCCTAACAGGGGCCTTCAAACCTTCAACCCAGAGTGTAACACCAGGAAACCAGCTCAAAAGCAGCAAGCTCCCACCTCACCCCCAACCTAACCCCACTAGCTTCACCTATATTTCCCCTCCTAGCCCACCCTCTGCCTCTTGGAACACCCTCCCAGCCCACCCCCCAATCTCAGGTAGGAACTTTGTATTGAGGAACCAAGGGAGGCAGTACAGCAAAACCTCATTACTCCAAACCCCTGTGGATTTGGAATTTTTTTCATAATTTGAACAAAAACTGGGCTTGAGTTTTCCTTTATCTGTGCAGAAAGGGTGGGCTAAGCAAATTAGTGGTGGAAAGTGTCTGTGGGAGGGGGTATTTAACCTATACCAGCAAACAGACTTTTCATTCCTATCTATTCATTAAGGCATGCTCCCTGAGGGCCTTATTCACCGAGTTCTACTTACTGTATATATTTTGAAGACATGCATTTCATTAAATAGACACTGTCATTCAGATTTGTCATTTATTCAGAGTGGCCATCTTCTCAAATATAACATCCCAAATTAGAGAGGTTTAACTGTACTGGGGGGAAAGGAAGGGGATTCAGGGAAGTGATGTGGGAAGGGAAAATCTTGTGGGAGGGCTGCCTCTCTCACACACTTGGTGGAAATGACTAGGAGCTTCTGCTGAGACACAGTGTGCCCCAATCTCTGCATCCCCAGGAAGCAGTAACTGGCTCCATTCCTTTCCACCCCCACTTTCCTTACAGTTCTTCTCCCTGGGATCCCAGTTAGAGGGTGAGGGGTGCCTGACCCTACTCCCACCCAGGACCTGTTCTCATCACCTCCTATTGCTCCTGGACCAACTCCTGGTTCCTGCCCTCAGCCCGACCTTCTGTTCCTCTGCTGGGAGAGAAGAGAAAAGCCACCTGAATTCCCCCATACCTCTGGGTCATTCACTTGGCTTTTAAAAATCTGTGCTCAAAACTGGCTTTTAAATTAATGGCTGATTTGCAAAGGGACCAATACCTAAAATGGTTTAGAAAAATTATCCATATTACTTTCTGGGCCATAGGGCATTTAGGCCTGGCAACATAGCTATGTCTGACCAAATCTCCAAAGGATACAAGTACAGTTCCAGATCAGCTTTCCTTTCCATCCCAGGATCCAGGACTCACCTCTCAGGTCACCCAAACCCCAATCTTAGGCAAAGCTTCCCTCTTAGTTCACTGGTATCTCACATTGCCAGTCAGAGGGGGAGGAAAATGCATGTGGTAGGGTAGCCTGAGTGTGGCGGGAGAGCAGGGAAAGGAATCCTCAAATTTCCTTCCCTCCACTTGTCTGCTGGTGACAGCACACGGGCAAGCCCCCTACACCCCCATGGACCCAAATTTAGAAAGAAGATAAATTAGGGTGCCATTATTCATTTTACAAAAGAATTCACTGCAGGAGTCTTTTAAATGGCAAGGTCCCCTGGTGCCTTTTAGCATCTGTTTACAGATCACTAACTACTTTGACAGAGAGGCTGGGCAGGCAGAGAGTTAAAATTACAGTGTGAGGAGCCACTGCACACTGCAGATCAATCCCACATAAATAAAGCATCTCAGAAATGATGTCTGTGGCTGACAGGTTCCCATTTACTGGCTTTTTAGGTAGGATTGTGTCCAGTAAGACCACTGGGTGGCAGGAGGGGTGGGGGTAATGAGTGGCATTAGCAACCCAAGATGTGAGCTCTTACAGGAATAGAGGTTATTTGATATGCTTTTCCTATCAGTTCTGCCTGGGAAAGAACATGGCCACTGAGCCCATGATGTAACTCCCAGGCCACAAGGGCAGTTCATGTCCTAACACTGTCCAAGGTTCCTTGCTCCTTCTTGTTCCACCCACCCTGCCTACTATCAGGATACCTCAACAGACTTTTCCAGGGCCCCTCAAAGTCCCCTTGAATTAACTGCCCACTCCCAATTCCCACCCAGTTGGGGACTAACATGAACCCCAAATGCCTTCTATCTCACAGGTATAAGGGAGAAAGAGTGAGAGAAGAGGAATGGGAAGAAGGAGAGGGTAGAGAACCAGGATTAGGGAAGGAGGAGGAAACCCCAACCTACCTGCTGCAATCGGCACAGCCCCTATAGCCAAGGTCCCCCAACCCAGCATCACCTCCACCCCATTAATAAAGCCCAACCCCCAAGGACGCTCTGGTGAAATGGGGGGTGACAGACATACACTGGAGAGGTAGAGGAAGAGGAGGGTGCAGAGTTAGGAGGAGGATGGGAGAGGTGTGCCTGGAGGGAAGGGGTGTGACTTGTGAATGTGCTGGGTCTATTTAGGGTCAAATTATTGCTAAGGCCTCCAGGGGCAGTTGCAGGGAGGGATCAGCATGTGGTCTCTGAGTAGTATACCTTGGGAGATGGGTCTGTGCTGGAGGTGTCAGGAGGTGGAGACTGTGGAGGTTCTCTGGGGGCAGAGGGCAGCAGTGATGGGGGAGAGGCACTGGAGAGTGGAGGGGGTAGGCTTCACGACCAACCTGTAGTGGTCCGGAGTCACCTCCCCCTGTGTCCTCCGCCAGTGGTCAAAGCGGAACCAGGAGAATTACCTGATGAGGAGCTGCAGGGGGAGAGAGTGGGGTGATGGGGTCAGGAGCCTTGGTGGTGGGGGTGGAGAGGCCTGGTGGTCAGAGAGAGGAAGGAGGAATATGGGTAGGAAAGACCAAAATTTGGGGAAAGCAAAGGGTAAGATGTGGAACCTCAGGCTCACCATGACTGAGGTGAGCAGAGGGTGGTGGCAGGGAGCTGGAGGGTCAGTCAGGTGTGAGGCCTGAGTGGGAGGAAGGCCAAAGGGAAGCTAGACTTGAAACACTGAGGGATTGGGATGGGGTGGGAAGTTCCAGGGAGGCCTTCAAGGTCTGAAGAGCCAGGAAGAGGGGGCTCTACAGAAGCTGCCAAGGAGTCAGAATGGGGAGCCAGGAGAACAAAGGTATAGGGATCCCAGATCCCAAGTCTCCATGGCCTGGGGAAACTACCACTCAGACTGCTCTGGGCTCCATTCCAGCAAAGAGCAACTTCTAGCCCTCCTCACACAAGAAGAGCTCAGAGGAAAGTGAACTCCTGCCTTCGACAGGGCAAACAGGCAGGGCTTCTAGGAACTGGGAGGGGTCTAGGGACAGAAAGGGTGAGGATCTGGGAGAAGGTCCTGAGCCGCAGAAAGGAGTGGGAGGATGGGGCAGGAAGTCACGGGGTGGGGTTGACACTGCCAGGAGTGACAAAGGCACAGACGATGGAATGAAGATGGGTCACTGGGGGGCTGAGTGGAGTGGCAAGTAGACAAACAGAGGACAATAAGAGACAGATGGCGATGGGGCTGGGGTGGCTGGTGCAGTGAGAGCACAAAGGACAGTGGGATGGATGGGGATGGGACACGGAGAAGATAAATGACATTGTAATTTCCACCTGAGCGTCGAGCAGCCTCTTCTTGGGTTCAGGCAGCGGCTCAGCCATGGCGGGGTGGTCCCGGCGCAGCTCCTCCTCCACCAGCATCAGCCTGAAGGGACGGGCTTCAGTGGGGTTAGTGGCGGGCACAGGCTTGGAGCCTGTTCATGGAACTCCTGATCCTGGAAACCCCTGCAGCTTTCTGGAAAAGCCTCAGGAATCCTTCTCCCCTTTTTAAAATCCCTCCACTGTCATGACTCAAAAGACTCCCTGTCACTCAGGGTGCTACTCTCTGCCTTCCTCTCAGGGTCCAGACCCTCAGGTATCTCTCTGGTTAGGGTAGCTTTCTATGCCTCAAAGACTACTACCACCCAGACACCCTCAGCCCCCTTCCCAACAGAGACAGCAGTACCCCTCCTTTAGAACTTTTGAGGCTAAAGATCAGGCTTTTATGCCACCTCAGTGAACTTAGGCCACCTCCAGTGGCAGAACTTGGGGTACCTCCCAGCCCAGGAGGAGTCCCTGTTGCAAGCCTTATCATTCCCAGCATCTCCCTGACTTTGGTGAAGACTCTCAAGGTTCTCTCTCATAAATGGTATCAATTACAACAGTGGTTTCAAAAAAAAGTTTCAGGTCAAGAAGCCCTTTTATTCCAATGTATTCTAAGTCTTATGCAGAAATACATTTTTAATGGATCAAAATGGAACTGGTTCTGGTTGGAACAGGGTTGGGTGTTCTCACCCCCTGTTTTTAAGATAACTGATCCCCTTGCTAAGATACCTCCTTTGGAATCCAGGGCTTGGTGAAACATGTGCAGGGTAAATGGCCCATTCTGATGGCATCCCTTACCAAGGCTAGAAAGGGAGGCTGTGCCCAAGATGGGGATGCTCAGGGGCTCCTCTGGCTAGGGATCCCTCCTCAGCTTTGGGGTGAACTTCACAGACTGCATTGAGAATAATCAACCAAAGTTTTCTGACCCAGGCTCTGTGCAGATACAGTGATGGTTGGACAGTACCTGCCATATTTTCCAAGGGCTTCAAAAGTTACTCTACCAGAAGAAACGTCAGGGTTTAGCAAAGAAACATTTAATGCCCTAAGCAGGAGATGAGTGGGTTGTCTCCCTGGGAGAGAGTGGCAGGCTCTCCTGGTGGTCTCCTGAGATGGGCACAGGGGTCTGAGGAGTAGCTCACTCTCTCACTCCCTTCAGCTTCAGGCTCTCCCTTGCTACCCCTCCCCAGGCCGCCCCTCACCTGCCAATGATGCTCTTGATCTGAGAATCCTTCTCCACCTGCTGCTGCCTCAGCCTCTTCTCACTCTGTTCTAGTCGGGCCTGATACTGCATCAAGATTTTGCTGGTCTGTTCTTCCTGGGACAGCAGCCTCCGCTCATACTCTTCCAGCTTCCGGTTGGACATGTGCAGCCGCTCCTTCAGTGAATGGATCTCTTCCTCGTACTCCTTTACCTGCCCGCCGGGCACAAGACCCCGCACTGTGAGAGGTGCCCTGCCCCATTCAGCCACCCAGCCCCCATCCCTGTCTGCCCAGCACAGCCATCGCATGGGGAAGGACATCAACCCTTTCTCTGCCTGTGGATTACACTCACTCAGGCCTGCTTTTGAGAATGCCCTGCCATGATGCTAAGGCTCCTTCAAGATGGAGCAAGGTCATAGACCTATGCCTTGAGAAGTGTGTCCACTGGAACACATGAGGACCCACAGAGCAACCTACCCATAGGCACACCTTAAATAAACAAACCCAGAAATTAAAAAGTGACTTTCCAGCCCCAAGCTAGGAATGAGCACATGAGAGAAAGAGGGCAAGACATTGGATGCAGGAGGGGTGAGTACTATCTTACACTCCTTCCTTAGCTATCCTGGGGATAGGTGATCTTAAGGGAATCTCAGGCTGAGAATTTAGGAATGCCTTTCTGCTAATCTGACCCTGGAATTCTGGGAACAAGAGAGCTCAGAAGAATCATTTTATCTGCCCTACTAGCTCTAGAGCTTAGAGCTATGCTAATATGATAGACCTAAGCCACATGTAGCTATTTATTTTACTTTTATTTTTGTAGTTCTGGGGATCAAACCTAGGGCCTCACACAGACTAAGCACAAACTATCACTCAGTTACCTCATTAGCCCATATGTAGCTATTTAAAACTAACACTAAAAATTTAGTTCTGAATCACAAAAAACCAATGTCTAATAGAGTAGCCACTAGCCACATGTAGCTACCATACCAAATAGTGCATATTACAGAACATTTTCATCACTTCAGAATGTTCTAGAAAGTGCTAGTCTGGAGCCTTTCTCAAGGATTCTGCATCTGAAGCCCAGAACAGGAGCAATTTGAAAGACCCCTGCCCATCAAGCCTTTGCCACCTATTCCTAAGGGACAGTAAGTGGATAACCCAGACATCACCTGTAGTACAACCATAATCCCTTCTGCCTCAGCCCTACTAAGTAGCTCCCACTGCTAGGGAAGTCACTTCCTTTCCTGAGCAGTAACAGGAGTAGAGCTTTGGCTTCCCTAGGGAAGAACATCGTGGCAAGCCTAGAATAGAACATGTTTCTCCCTAGATAGTCTACAGTGTAGCTGAGTTGGCTTTTAAGCAGACTGATTATGTCGGGTTCTCCTTATGGACTGAAAGCTTCTCAAGAGGGGATCAGTTTTTGTCTTTTCTTTCTATTATAACTGCCTAAGCCTAGATGATTCCCTTGGAATGACCTACAGGTCTCCCCTATGGGTGAAAGGAAAAACTGAGACTTTGGATGGCAGGTACCAGCATACCCTATCTAGCCGGCTCTCATCCATCGATTTTGAGTACTCCTTGAGCTTGTACTCTTCCCGCTCAATGTGGGCACTCTCGATGTCAGCCGACAGGTGAGGCATATTGGAGACCCAGGCCACAGTCCGCTCAGAGGCTGGCATTGTGGGGTTCAGCGTGGATGGTGTTTGAGAATGCTGGGACAAGGCAAGGTGGGAAAAGGCAGGGCACATTCAGAGGGAGAGAACACAGCCAAAAGACAGGACAGTCCCAGGCCTGTTCCCCTGCTTTAGGGGGTATCCCGGGTCCCCACCCTAACCCCAGGGGCTAGAGAAGCGATTGATCACGTCTCCTCTCTGGAATGAGTGCTATCAGAGCAAGCATTTATGTCTGTTCACCATCATCTCCATGGTGCCCCAACAGCACATGTCACACTGCGGCCCCTGAACACACATTGTTTTAATTTATGAAAGGTGATGAGAAAATCAAAACCTTAGGGCACAGATTGCTCCACCTCCACTGTTGCCTTCACCCACCCTGCTTCCTCTTCCCTTCACCTACCTGCTTGGTGATGGAGGGCTTCAGCCCCCCACCCCCTCCGCCACCACTGCCACCGCTGCCCCCAATGCTGCCCTCCTTGCTGAGGCTCTGTTGTCGTGGACGGGCAGGGCCATAACTCGGCTCTGGAGACTGTAAAAGGTTCCCGCTGGATGGCCGGGGTTTCTGGGCAGCACTGACTGTCAACTGCTGAGACTTTCCCCTCTGCAACGGAGGTGGCTGCCCCCCACCACCCCCACCACTGCCCCCACCACTCCCACCTCCGGGCCCTGAGGGGGCTGGCCTCTGGGGACCAATGGTGATCTGGGGAGGGGACAGCATGTGCTGAAGGTTGTCCTGGAGTGAGAGCTGCCGTCGGGTGAAGTCAGTGCCAGAGGGTCCAAACTCATCACTGTAGCTGTGGCTATGAAGGATGGAGGCTGCAGGGGGCTTCGGGACCCCTGAGGAGAGGTCCTCGCTCTTGCTATAGCCATGGAATGGGGCAAAGGTGTCCCCTGGGGGCTCTCCACCTCGGTGGTGGTGATGGTGGTGGTGGTGGTGATGGGAAGAGGGTGGGCCATGGCCACCACTCCCTCCATGGCCCGCTGGGGGCCCTGGCCCATCAGCAGCCATGTGGAAGAGAGGGTTCTGGAAGGAGAGGGGGATGCGCAGTTGCTGGGCAGGGACACCGTCCGTGGTGACACCCATCTGGCTGAGGCGCATGCCCGCCGCTGTGATGGACGACCCACTCCCCTGGGAGAGGCGTCCAGCAGGAGCAGGCCGCAGCCCTAAGGCCGCTGTGAGTGAGGCCTGGCTTGAATGCAGCAGGTCCCCGACAGCTGCCAGGTTGGAAACACTACTGCTGTTGAGGCGACCACCGGGCCCATCGCCCTGCAGGTCCAGCATGGACACACTCTTGTTGACACTCAGCATCTTCTGCTCTGGCTCTGTGATGTCCGAGCTGCTTGTGCAGTATGCTGGGGAGGACCGGGCCAGTGGTGGTCGGCTCACGTAGAACAGATCTTTACCCCCACCAGGGGGTGGTGGGGGTGGCTTTTCCTTGGTTGGGGAGGGGAGACGAGCCATGTCCATAGAGCTGTCAAAGGAAAGGGGACAGACACACAAGCAGGGTAAAGCTAGGCTACAGGCAACTGAGCCTCCTGGAGCTGGTATGGACCTTAGGTGAAAATTGGGACCCACAGGGAAGGGCTGAGAGCCAGTGGTGACAGCCCTAAAGAGGTAGGCAGGGAGGATGGGACGGAAAAGGTGGGAAAAGGGAAAGGACAAGGCCCCTCTGGGAAAGGGTGAGGCCTAGAGGAAGGGAAATGGGGGCAGCAAGAGGAGGGAAATGGGGGCAGCAAGAGGAGGGATGAGGGCAGTCTGGGAAAATATGAAGGAGATGAGGTGCACTGAGGAGAGGAGAGGAGGAGGGTGAAGGTCAGGAGGGGGAGAGGGAGCTGACAGGAGAGGAGAGGAGGGCTGGGGAGGGGAGAGCCCCTCACCTGTTGAGGCCTCGAGCCATGAAGGACTGAAGGTCGATGGAGCTGGAGAGAGATGGAAAGAGGGGCGAGCACAGACAGAGAGAAGGAGCAAGGCATGGATGGATGGCAGGAGCAGTGGGAATGGTGAATGGGTATGGCATCACGGAGGGAAAGACACGGGCAGAGAACAGCAGGGTGATCATCAAATAAGGCCGGGGGCCTGCCCCATCAGAACAAATGCTGAAGTTTTCAGAACAAATGCTGAGGTTTCAGAACAGGATCTGGGGGCTGCTAGACTTCCAGCTGCTGCTTCTCTAAGTGCTGGATCTTGGGGAGGTCTGCGGGGTTCTGGTGGTAGGCCGGAGGGGGGGGATCCTTATTTTCTGAGTCATACAGAGATGTTTGATTATTTTGACACCCCATGGCTGAGCCAATGTACACTGGCTCAACCTCAGCCTGGAGACAAGCACGGGTGGGCAGAGGAACAAAGCAAATAAGAGCCTGTAATGGGGATCCCCTTGGCTTACAACTAAGCTGGGAGCTGGAGGAGCCTTGGCACTTCTGGGGCTGTGTTCCTTGTTCCCTCTGGCTTTGAAGGGCTCCCACTGCCTGTACCTATCTCCTTAACATTTTCCCCTGAGAACTTGCTGCTTTATCCCTTCCTTTCAAGCCCTAGAGATGCACAAGGGGCCCAGTGAGAATATCCAGAATAGAAGAGATGGGGTTCCTAGGACATAAGGGCAGGGACCCCCAGAGGGCTCACCTGTTGAGGTCCCGCATCATGTAGCCCTGCATCTCAGCTGACGGCCCCCGCAGCACCATGGGCTGCGGCCGGGGCCGCTCACTCTGGCGGCTTGGCTGCCTTTGGATGTTGGGGTTTCTTAGGGCTGTGCTGATGTCGTTGAGGAGCCGGGGTAGTGGGCCCAGCTTCAGAAGGGCTTCCTGGAAGGGCAAGGCTATTACTGGTGGGCTCTAAGAGGGCCTTGGAAGGTGCAGGTGGAGGATGTCTGGGTAGGAGTAGTGGTATGACATCTCAGGGAACAGGCAGGGGAGAAAAATCTGTGCAGGGGAGTAGTTTCTCAGGCCCCAAGTGCCTCTGGCAACATCTAGCAATGGGGCACAGGGAGCACTTGCTGACCTTGCTGAGCTGGGGCAGCACCTCCCAGAGTAGGGCATGCAATGTGGAGAGCTCTCGGCCCAAGTCGATGTAGCCCTCAAAGCTACTGCTGTTGGTCAGCGTGTCCAGGTTGGAGATCTCGTACAGGAACTGCTGCATGGAACCCCACTCCAGCTCCAAAAACTCATTCATGAAACCCAGAAAGTCCTCCTTTGAGGTAAACCTGGCCAAGGGGTCCAGAAGGGAGAGGTCACACTTGTACAGAAGGCCTTACATCTACCCATCTCAGGGTCTCTGGGGACTCAGGAGACCCTTCCTGCCCACCCTCCACCCATGCCTGAAGCTTCCCTCACTTGGAAAAGTTGGCCAGGTTCTGGATGACCTTGGCAATGAGGGTGAGGGTTCGTGAGGTCTGCTCATCTGGGTACTCCTGCATGAGCCCAAAAAGACTGGGCGACATAATGGCTGGGCAGAGGAAGCGCAGGAAGAGCGAGGCGCTGATCAGCCTGTCGGCGATGTCCTCCCTGCCCCGCTCTGCGCAGCGCAGCCGCCAAGATGCAAACACCTCCTTCAGCTCCCTCGGGAACACGCTGGGGGGAAGGGGTGGGGAGACAGAGAGAGAGAGAAAGAAAGAGAGAGACCGGGACTGAGCCCCAGAGACCCTCAGCTTCCAGGGAACATGCTGAGGGGGGTGGTAGGAGGTGAGGGTGTGGAAACAGAGGTAAGAGAGACAGGGAAGGAGGGACTGCAGGAGGAAGACAGGAGGCTGCTGGAAGAAGAGGGCCACGGTAGAGGGAACAGACAGATTTGGGAGAGAGAAATGGAAGGGGAGAGAAGGTGAGGGGAGAGAGACACATGGGAGAGAGATGGAGGGATGTGTGAGAGAGACAAGGAGAGGAGGAGAAGAAAAACAGACACCAGGGAGAGACAGAGATGGGAGAGAGATGGAGGGTCACTTGAGGTACAGGGAGCTCGGACCCCCCAACTCTTCTGGATTCCAGGGAAATGGGGATGGACGTGCCCCAGGCATGATCCCCAGTCCCTGGAATGGCTCAGAGCTCACTCTCCCCACCTCCCAGTTCCATTTCAATGTCCTACTGACACCTTAAACTTGACTAGTGTAAAACGGAGCTCACCATCGCCCCCACACCTCAACTGACTCCTCCTCCTGACTTTCCTGGTTCTGTCAATGAGGCCACCAGTCTCCCAGCTACAGCCTCATGGCCTCTTGAGTCATCCTTGACTCCCCACAGACAGGCCCCCTCCTTTGCAATCAGTTAACAACTCTTGCTGATCTTTCCCTCAGAGGGCCCTTAACAGTGGCCTCTTGCTAAATTTCCTATCACTGTCCTGATTTAAGATCTGATTTTCATTCCTAACCCATTAACATCAGTCCCCAATAGCCTGAACTTCATTTTCCATACTCTGGTCAACCCCCACACTCCACTCTACTTATGGATTCATCTTCTCAATCATGAAAATTCCTGATGCCTACACCTTTAATGGCATCCTATGATCTACTGATGAACTCAAACTCCTTAACTTGAGGCCTTCTAGATTCTAACTCTAATCCCACATCCACATATTTTTCCTACTATTTCCATTATTAAACCTGTTCTAGTTACTGTCCCTCGAAAGCTCCTGGGCCTTCTCACCTTCCCACACATGCCTGTCCCACAGCCTTCTGAAATGTCTCTTTCCCACCATGTGCAAACATCAGCACCTAACCCAATCTTCAAAGCCCAGCACCAGGCAGTTCTTTTTGCTTATCTCAATCAAAGCTCTACCTTCTCAGTCCTGATGTTACATGGGGGTGGGGGTGGGGCTCTTACTCAGCACTTCACACGTACTACAATGGTTCTGTGGTTTTCTGTGCATCTCATTTGATTTCTACTCATTCTGGTAGAGGCCCTCTGAGGGCAGGGACCAGGCACATTCACTTCTGTTCTACAGCACCCAGAATGCTTTGCCCATAACTGGTGCTCAGTCCTCTTTGAGGATGGACAGATGGATGAACAGATGAACACACAACTGCCCCAACCCTGGCCCCCCAGCCCAGCGTTCCCAGTCTCACCAATGGGAGTTGACCACCTTGCACAGGGCCAACTCACAGCACATCCGCAGGTTGGCCTGGTGCTCTGCCAGACTGGATGCCGTGCACTTGATGGGGTCTACCTCACAGTTCTCCTCAGATTCATACAGAGCACGAATGAACTCCCCTGAGGAATAGGGGCACAAGAGAAAGTTGTCATTCTTTCCAAGGGCAGGGGTAGGGGGCTGCCTGGGTTGGAGGAATCTCAGAACCAAGTGGTTGGAGGCTGGGGTCCTGGGCTCTGGACTTGAGATCTGGGGTAACCAAGTTTAGGGCTGGGGTAGGCATCTGGCAGATTTGGGAAGAGGGCCTGAAGGTGAACCATACCAATGGCATCCTTGAGGTATTTCTGACCAATCAATCTCATATACTCTTCTATGGCTTTAGTGGCGAGCGTGTTCTCGCGGAATATGAGGTGCTCCCGTTCCATGAACCGGTCTACCTCTGACATGGCCATGTCTGAAAGGAAGTCCTGGGACCCAAGAAAATTCAAGGATCAGCCTCTGCACAACCCAATTTTGCAAGTGTGCCCTGTCCTCTCTGCCCTCCACGTCAGTGCCCATTCCCAAGCCACTTTTCCCTGAGGGCACGGCACTTACCTTGGCCTTTCCTGTACTCTGCAAGATGTGAACCAGTGCGCTGGCAACCTCTTCCTTGCCCTTGACATTCAAGGCAGGTTCCAATACTGCACACAGCATCCGATAATGGTTGGTGACATATTCTGCAAACTCTTTGTACAGCTCCATGGGCAAGATACTCATTGTCTGATAACGTGCCTTCAGCCGCACAGCCGGGCAACCTCCTTTGCCCTTGCCCCCTGAGCCACCCCCCGAGCCTCCTCCCCCTCCCGAACCCATGCCCCCAGACCCTCCACTGCCTGTTGGCAGGGTCACAGGGTACCACTGCTCTGTGAAGTGGCGCCCAGCCAGGGTGGCCACGGGCACAGTCACCAGGCCTACATAGCCTGCCTTGTCCTTCTTGCGCTTTTTGTCTGAGTCACGGTACAGATGCAGCCGCAGGGCGCGGACAGCCGGCAGGTTATTAAACTCGAAGTGCTCGCCCCAGAAGACGGTGTCCCCAGAGGCTGAGCGGGGCTTGGACGTGGTGCGTGCATACAGCATGTCATCTAGGCAGAGCTCGCAGTAGTACCGCTTCTTAGGGGGCAGTTCCCGTGCCTCTATGATCCACAGCTTCAGCACATTATCCACCCGGCGGCTGTTGTCCTGGTGTGGGGGTGGTGGGTAGGGTAGATAAAAGGGAGGGGACAGTGAGATGGAGACACCAAAAGAGGAGACAATGAGAAAGTGGGATCCAGACAACAATTGTACAGCTGAGAAGCTGTACTGGATTGAAGAGAGTCTCTCCCACATTCATCGTCTATCTAAATCTTGTGAATATGATCCTATTTGGAAATATGGTCCTTACAGATATAGTCAAATTAAGGACATACTGGATAGGGTGGACCCTTAAAACAATAATTGGTGTTTCTATTATAAGGAGAGATTTGGAGACATGAGACATGCAGAAGGAGCTCGCCATATGAAGGTGAAGGCAAAAGCTAGATGGATGCAGCTAGAAACCGTGGCCTGCCAGCAACCTCCAAGGAGCTATGAGGAAGCAAGAAAGGACTGTTCTTTGTGCTTCAGAGGAAATGTGGCCCTGCTAATTTTTATTTTGGACTTCTGACCTCCAGAATTGTCAAAGAATACATTTCTGTTGCTCTAAGTGACCCAGTTTGTGGTAATCCCCCTCTGTCCCCGTACATCCTACCACTGAACTATATCCCCAGTTCTTCCATATTTTTTATTTTGAGATAAGTTCTCACTAAGTTCCCCAGACTGGCCTTGAACTTGCAGTCCTCCTGCTTCAGCCTCCAGAGTTACTAGGATTACAGGCATATGCTACCACACCAGGCTTAGTTTGTGGTAATTTTTTACAGCAGCTTAAGAAACTAACATAGAAGGGTAGTTCCTCAGACGCTAATCAGTACTGGGGAAAAAAGTTAGAATAATAAAACAAAAATATTAAGACAGATTCTGAAGAGGAAAATGGAAAAGTTCTATAGAGATCATCAGAAACTGAAAAAAATAAGTTAATTGCATAAATACAGGATGAGTGAGCCTTGATAGCTGGTGTGAGAATGTCCTGGGGATATAACTGAGCACAAGCTCACAGTGAGGTTTAGGTGACGTTTTTCAACACCAATCAACACTAATGTGCTGAAAAAAAGCAAAGTGTTTGGACTCTGCATGGGTCAGAATTTTTTTTAAATATTTTTTAGTTTTTGATGGACCTTTATTTTATTTATTTGTATATGGTGCTGAGAATTGAACCCAGTGTGTCATACATGCGCTACCACTGAGCCACAACCTCAGCTCCGGGTCAGAATTCTTAAGAAGGACACTGAGAAACAAGTTTCCCCAGATGAGAGTGACCAGAACTGTGATCTTGCTAGAAAGTGGGATACACAGCCTAGATGACAGAACTGGGAGCACTTCTCCTGGGAAGTAGAAGTTTTGGGAAAAACACAGACTTGAGGAACCTCTGCTCCAGAAGGACCCTAGAGATTATCTAGTCCACTCCATTCTCACTAATTTCATAGAGGCACAGAGATCCGGCTAATTGAATTTTGTGTGTTCTGCAAAAATGCTGTAAGTAGGGGCTGAGTGGCCACCTGTTGGGATGTCAGTGAGGCATTCCTGCCTGACAGGAAGCTGCACTAGAGGACTTCTAGAGTCCCATCAACTCTCTTTTAAGTCTATGATTTCTATAGTAGGGATATAGATCACAAAGTAGGGTAACAGTATGAAAAAAAGGAAAAAGAAACAGGGGGCTAGGAATAATGGGGGTGGACACCCCCACTCATTCAGGGCCCCTACAAAGCTGTCTCCTTCTCCCCCAAGCCTCCCCCTCCTTTACTCACTAGGCCCCCTGTGGCTCATTCTTTGCCCCAGACATGCCATGCACGTCCCCTTTACTCCCCAATACCTTGTTGGGTTTTACTGCCCGCTGGAGATTCTCGATCCATTTGTCCCGTTCAGCTGCAGACCGACAGGCAAAACATTTTGTTCCTGATGACGTTGTTACCTAGAAAGGGTGTGGAGTTGAGAATGGGACTCCAGAGGGAGCTTACTCCTAAGAACTGAAGATTCCCCACCACTTCTGCCTCCCTGGCCTATCCTAGCCCCAAGAGGTTTCTGACATCCTCTTGACATCAACCCCTGTGCCAATTCCTCTAGGACTTTCTGTCCCTACCCTCCAGCATCCCTGTCCTTTGGTCCTAAGCCCACTAGACCCAATACCTCAAAACAGAACTCCTGGCCCAGGATGGAGCTGTGCACTGGCTTGATAATGGAATCTTCATCCAAGTTGAGCTCCAAGGCCTCAGCTGCACTGCTAGGACTCAGCAAGGACTCATGGGAGTGAGACTCCTTAAAGCTTTGCATCAGCCGGGCCCTGGCAGGCAGAAGGTTCAGGAGAGAGGATCAGGACACCAAACTCTTCTTACAGACTCAGGGGTCCTGACTCATCAATGTGATTTTAGAATGGAGACTTGGTGAAAAGGTCTCCTGAACCACTTTGCACATAGACACAAATTCACAGAATGAAACCCAGCCTCCCCTCAGGAAGGACATGAGGGATGTGAGAGAAACCAGCCATTCTATTCACATCTAAGGGGCTGTGAGGAATGGGAACACCTAGAAATACCTAAATGCAGGAATGGACCTGGCAAAAGAAAGAGAAAAAAACCAAGGTGGGCCCAGGGCCCCTTGGAGAAAGGACCTCTAGGTGACCCTAGAAACCAAAGTCTCAACATAAGGGCAAAGCGAGGAGTCACACAGAAGATCACAACATAAGAACTGGAGAATCACACAGAAGATCCTTGTCTGGCCTGGACCTGGCACACAGTTAGTTAGTGCCCAATAACATTTCATGATTCAAAGTAGGAATGAATGAATAAGAGACAAAGTTACAGTAGAATCAGGGGAAAGAGTGAGGAAGAGTGTAAGAAACAAGAGAAAGGAGCAGAATGAAGGTTAGACACTGGAGATGGGAGTAAGGGGAAGGAGGCAAGACAAGAAGTAGAAAGCAGGAGGAAAAGCATGTGCAGAAAGAGGATGCGAGAGGCTGAGAAGGGGCAGCTAGACAGATGGACGCAGGAAAAGCGATGGGGCTGAAAGGCAAAAATCACTGTGGGGAAGAAAAAGAAAAAGGGGGCTAGGGGCACAGAATGAAGAGGGACAGGATGGCGAGCAGCATGGAGATGGGTAGGGGATAAAGAGTAGAGAGCAGTAGGGAAGCGGGAGGGGGAGCTCGGGTGTGGGAGCCTCCATGAAGTTATTTATAGCAGCCCCGTCATCACAGGCTCTGGCTGCCTTCAGCGCGCCACGCTCCCCCGGCCCCCCGCCCCCGCGGCCAGGAATACCATGCCCTCACCCCCTGCCGGCCCCAAATCCAGCTCTGGTGACATGGGAAGGGGGCAGGGAAAGGTTTGACTCACCTTATCCCAACCTCCCTACCTGCCCAATTCCGGGGGTGGCCAGACAGAGGGGAAAGGGAGGACAGGGTTCTGCAGGGATGACTGGGTAAAAGGGATACCCAGAGAAGGACCCCAAGAAGCAAACAACAGAGACAACCACCAAAAGGTCTCCTTCAGTCCTGCCTCAGGACAGTGCCCTCTGGACTTCTCTGAGGGCTTCTTCTTCATGGTTCAGTCTATGAATTAACCCTGCAGCCCCTGATCCCCATTATGTCACCCTGCACACTGGTGCCGGTCTTGCCTATTTCTGTAATACTCTACACTGTTCCTTCCCTCACGATGAGCTCCACCTTGTACCTGTTAACATCAGTCACCCCAAGCACTACTCCAACCTGCTGCTCCTGCCCCTCCTGCCCTTCCCTCAGGCAGTTCCACCTAGCTCTCACTGCTGCCCCTCCACCAACCAGTGAGCCCACTTCCTAGGATTCAGAGTTCCTTATGGGCAGGCTGTGTGGCTCTTCTCTGTCCTTCTGTACAGCTCCTCTGATCCTGGACTGAGCCCACCCTCTGTCAGGCTGAAGATGCCCTCCTTGGCATTACCTTCGCCTCCTTGCCTGCCTGTCCTCTCCGTATGTCCCACCCTTCTCCTGCCGCCTGCAGCCATGTCCTAGCTCTTCTCTGTTTTCTCCTTGCACCATAACACCCCTCAATCAACATGAGCCCTTCAACCTTTGCCCTCGGATAACCCCCTCCCTTCCCATACCGCTAGAGGTCCCCTATATTGCACATATCTCAACCCGCATGCTCCCTCCCCTGTACCGGTCATGGTCAGCACTTCGGAAGCGAGGCAGGATCTGGCGAAAGCTGCTGGTCCGGTCAAGTTTGGGCTGTGACTTCGTACGCTTGATGGAGCTTTTAAGCCTCCGGCTCAGGAAGCCTTGCTGGGGGGAGGAAATGGGGATAGGGGTGGGTTGGGGCAGGGTCAGTCCTACCTACTTACCCCTCAGCTGGTATAGAGTCCCTAAAATAAGGTGGGATGGGAGAAAAGTCCCTAGAGGTGGGAAAGGGAACAGGAGCCCTGATACCAGCTTGTCTTCCTTGTTCCCTTGGGCACAGTGAAGGAAATACACACACACATACACACACACACACACTAGCTTGGAATAGGTGGGAGGGCTAGTCCAAGAAGCAGGGGGCAGAGCCAAGAAGAGGGAGACCAAAGAGGTGGGGACCCACATACACACAAAATCTTTCTCCCTCCAGTCCCCTTTCTCAGAATCCTAGGGCTCCAGCTGGGGCTGGAGGGGAGGGACCCAGCTGAGCCACATCTGGCAAGCGCTGGCTTCCATTCACTCACCGAGGGCCGGAAGGGCGCAGCGGGGGCGGCCTCCATGCTGTACTGCTTCCCCCCTGGGACACTCTTCCTCCTCGAGCGACCCAAGTGGTATTCTGGAGGAGAGGAAAGGGCCCCAAGGGAAGTTGGGGAAGGGGCTTGTTAACCCAGGTTTCCACCCCTGACCCCACTGCATTCTCCCACCTCCCTCTGCCCCTCAGCTCCGGCCTCACCTACCCCCCGGAAAACAGCAGGAAGAGCAGCGGCGGCGGAGAGGCTGGCGGTGGGAAGGAGGGGGCAAGGAACCCGAGCCAGAGCCCCCAGAGGGGGACGGAGTGGGAGGCCTCAAGCCCATGACTAGTGTTGGCAGTCAGCAGGGGCGCATGGTCAAGGGGGTCAGTAAAACCCCAGTAATGAAGGACATAGAAGATCCAGGGAGGCTAAGTCCCGGTGCCCACCCACCCCCCCAGAAGGGGCTAGCTGGGGGGGAAAGATGGGTTAAAGGTCATTGCCCATAGGCTGGCTTTCCCCTTCTCTCTGGGGACATCTTCTACCTGCCCTGCACCTCCCAGACCCCTGTTGGTCTGGAGGGCCAGGGCTGCCTCCCATGACCCCCTCCCTGGACGGAGGGGGAAGTCTTAGAAGGGACCTGTGAGGAGTGGCTGGGGGAGAAGCTGGAGAGAGAAAATCTAAGAGGCAGATGGGGGGGTGGGGAGAAAGGAGCCGGTTCCACGTGCACTGCAGTGGCAGGGACTTAGAAGGGAAGGGGGAAGAAGAAAAGAAAAGAATGCAGGGGAGTGGGCAGGGAGTGGGGAGGATTAGGGGGTGCTGGGGACTCCCAACTAAGGTTTAGGAGAGGAGGAGGAGGGGAGGTGAATGCGGATGAAGCTCAGCCTGCCAAGAGCCTAGAGGGATGGCAGATCCAAAGAGGGAAGCTGAGGCTCTGCTGCCAGGGAATTTAGAGGGGCCAAGGGGCTGGAGGAGAATGAAAGTGGGGGGGGATGCCAAGCTCCGGCTTCAGCTCCAGAATGGCTGCCCAGGCCTGGGCTCCCCCCTCAGCCCCACAGTCACCACTGCAGCCAATGGGGGGGCAGGTGCTGCATCAGGGGCGGGGCCACCATCTCCACGGCAACAAGAAGCTACAGGCTGGAGGGGAGGTGGACCGGAAGAGCTGCCTGTTAACCCTCAAGGTTCCAGAACAAAACAAAAGAGGGCCATACTACATTTCCACTGTCTGCTTCCAGAAGTGCAAATTGCCCCCAAGTTGCCCTAGAATCAGTCCCTAGCTTCCCTTTACCTGTAAAACCCAAGCATTAGAGGTTTGCACACAAAATCTGGATCCCATCATACAAGGTCCCTATCAGTCCCTCAGGAACACGTGTAGAACACAGAAACATACACTGAGCTGTGGGGGTATGTGTATATCAGAACCACAATACAAAAATAAATAAGGATCTATGTGCTTATGAGACATACAGACAGCTGTGAGCACAGGTCCATATTCTCAGACTTTGAGGCCCACACACCCTACATGCTTACACATGTGTGAACACTGCAACAGTGGTGTACATACTTGAACCAAAACACCCACATGTGAGCCACTAATGTGGGTTTTGTGGCCTGAGTCTTCTGGGCAATCATGCAAGCGCACATTACAGAAATGGACATGAACCTGAAGACATACACATGTCCCCCACATAGGAGAATACCAGTTTAACCCCTGGGACACATACTTGAATACACCATATTCCATCCCTGTACAATACATACACTATGATCCCAACCACATAAAGGTTTCCCCCATATTCCCAAAGGACAAAATCCTTCATTCACATGAAAAGCGCAATCACATCCACTCTGTCTCAGGACAACCTCCTTCTCCTTCCCCAGTTCTTCCCTGCCTCCAACACCGGCATCCATGATTGCTACCAAGGAGCAAATGCATTATCTTTCTGTTATACACTACACAGTGCATCCCAGGGCCAAATATCTTCCTCCTAGTCACATTTCTCAGCTTTTCAAGGTAGAGCTGCCCCATTTTCATTTCAGGGAACCTAGCTCAGCCATTATTTTTACATACGAGCTCCTCTAATAAAGGCATAAAGTCTAACTTTGAATCCACTAAAATTCTGCTTTGGAACCAAAGCATTACCAGAAGAAAAAAGAATTTGGTACCTGGTTTGCTTGATTCTTGGAGATAATATAACCTTATACATATCACCAGGAGCTAAAACCTATGAACTCACACTTAAGTCACAGGTACATGAAGGCCACATAGACACATGCTTACAAACACTCTCATTACTGCAAAGAAAAGAATAAGAGAAACACAGAGGAAAGGCAGGCAGAGTGACAGAAACACAGGACATCCTGTTATTAGTGCTATATGCAGCAACATGTACAGAGAACACAGAACACAGTCTTACACATTCACAGAGCAAACCTGAAAAGCATACACTGAGTTGCTGGGTCTCCACGTCCCATCCCCTGCACGATGTATACACGCATGCACACACATCACAGCCACCTACACAGACCCGTAACATAGGCATTGTGCACACACCCACACATGTACACACCCTGTATACACACAATTGCACACACACAGAACAAGGGCTTAGGTTCCTGCTTCTCCAATGTCTCTAATCTTGCCACCACCCACAGAATTTGTCCCTGCCCTCCAATCCCCCAAAACCCTAACTTTCCCTTTGGCCTTTTTCTCCACACTCAGCTGGCAGCTTTCAAGGGGAGCCTGGGCAGAAACATTGCCACAGCAGGATGAGGAATAGCGTTGGATAGAGAGCAGAGAAATAGAGGACAGTGCTCTGCACTGGGAACATGAACCTCTAAAAACAGTCCCTGCCATGACAGGCCTCTCTGTGAGCCACCCTCTATACTTATGTGCCCTCACCTGATCCAACCAAATCTGATCCTACAGGGCCTGCCTGAATCCAGTGCCCTTTCCAATCTCCCCTCCCTTCTTTCACAGATTACTTTATCAAAAGGCCTCTCTCCTGTCCCTGCTCCCTATCTCTGAGGTCCCTTCTCCCACCATCTCCATCCAGTTCCCCATCTTAAGCCTACCACTCTTCCCTTTTTGAAGTCTGGCGAGTTCTCTTCCATGTTCCCATTCTCCAGCTCTCCTCCCTGGCATACTCTCCCCTCTCTTGAAACCTTTCTCATTGCTCCTCTCCCTTTTTCTCACCACTTTTCCTCTTTATCTCACTCCTTCCCTTTTGAGCCTTTCTATTCCCACTCCGGACCAGGCAGGGGCTCACACCTGCCTAGTCCAAAGGTGTTTCATACACAGTAGGATTCCAAGGAGCACACACACACTTTCTCCCCTCACCACTCACACATCACCCACATCCAGACACGCCCTGGACACCAGTCCTGGGATTGACACAGATACTCAGGCCAAAGCTAGAACACACATGCAAAGACATACACCTGCCACCAGGGACACAGAAAATTCTGTTCATGCATCCAGTCACACATTCCTACACACAGGAGACTGATGAGAAGTGAGCCCCAACCATAGACATGCAAGCTCAGGGTCAGGGGTGACATGAATCAGTATGGCCATGGATTGCCCCACTAAGATAGTGGCTGGCCCAACAGACCCCTAGGCAGGAAGAGGCAGCATAAGACAGGGCACGCTTTGCACACGGCTGGCTGCACATGTGTGCACGAGGAACTGGGCCCCTTGTGCACATGGCACCGACACACAGGGGACATGAGCAAGACATGAACACACACGCAAACCCACAGGCTGCCCTCTAGCAGGGGCTTCAAGACCCCCCTGACCAGCCGCCCCCGCGAGCTTGTAACCGTGTCCCCAAGAGGCCGTCCCGACCACCCGACCTCCACTGCACCCCCCCCCTCCAGTTACCATAACTCCCCCCACTCGGAAGATGCAGCGAGAACATGCGGAGGGAGCAGCTGCCGCCGCCGCCGCCGCCGCGGCTTCCCCACCCCCCTCCCTGCGCCCACGCACACGCGCGCCCCCGCCCCACGCGCGCGCGCGGCCCCCCCACGCGCGTTCCTCGTCCGCCCGGCCCCGCCCTTACCTCGCACCTCCCCCCGGGGGGGCTCGGGGGTGTCCCCGGTGGGGGAAGGGCCCCGCCCCTGCGCGGGGGAGGGGTGGGGTGCGGAGGGGGGAGAGGGGGCGGTGCGGCCCGGCTTGCGCCGCCCGGCGCGGTGGGGGCGGCGGCGGGGCCCGGGACGGCCCGGGCGGCCGCGCGGTGACGGCCGCGGGAACGGCTCCCTCCGCCGCCGCTCCCGCCGCTGCCGCCGTTGCCCGGGCCCCGCCGCCGTTGCTAGGCGACCGCTGCTGCCGTGGCCGCCTCTGTCACGAGCCCCGTCGCCCGGAGACAGCGCGAGAGAGACGGGGGAGGGGGGTAAGGGGACCCCCCAAACCAACCGGGTCTTCCACCATCCCCTCTTGAGCAGGACCCCCTCCCCCCAAAAAAAATCGCGGAGGAAAGGAGGGCTCGCGGCTCCACCCAGCAGAGGAGGAGCCCTAGATTCCAATGCCCCTCAAAGGTCCGGCGACCTCTCTCGGGCTGAAGAGTCCACAGCCTCAGCAAACACCTTCGCAGATCTAAGCCCCAAGACTTCAACGACCCTGATGTCTCCTACACATTCTCCATGTTCTCTACACATTCCATGTCCCTCTGAAGACCCAGTCACCAGCTATCAAACTTTGACTAAACCCTCTCCCCAAATATATTTATAGCCCTGGAGCCCCTCCCAGTCCCATACAGCAACCTCCACATACTACCCCAACTTCAAACACACATGGTGCCTCCACCCAAGACCCATGCCAGAGACCCCCAGATTCTGAGGACTCAGGGTAAGGAGAAAGATGGAGAATATGTGGGCAGAGCAGCCAACCACAGGACATTTGATAAACATGCTCTGTGAGCATGTGACCATTCTGGCCTGGGCACAAAGGTATACACACACACATGCAGAGAAACACATGCACCAGATATGGACATTACATACACATAGACACAAATATGAAAGACATCACACATATTCTCTGTACACATTTCACAACCACCACCTGGATTTGCCTCAGAGATGAGCTACCTACACAGACCCCTGGTCGGAGGTTTCCATAACAATGACACACATCCCTGACCATCCACTCAGGGTCCCAGAACAGGCCCCCAAGGGTAGAGAGGTCTGGACCTATCACAAGGTGGCTGGAGGAAGCCAAAGGATGTGGAAAGGCCACTGGCTCTCTAAAGAAGAAACTGAAACCCTGGATGTCTGAGGGGTGGGGGATTTGGTAGGAGAAATAGATCATCTGAAGGTTGGAGGGATGGGGGATCTGGATCCCAAGTCCTGGGAGGGAAATACAGAGGAAGGGGGCAGTGGCGAGGGGGTTTCCGGGGACTGAGGGCGTCTCTCTGCACCTTGGCTGCAGATCTCTGTTCTCTGCCTTCATATCCCCTCACTGTTCCCATGGAAACCTTTTAAGCGAACTTCTCAGGAAGACAAAAATCTTTTTTTAAATGACTAAAGGGGGGGTGGGGGGGCAGAAAGGGGGAGGGAGGGGAAGAGACAGATGGAGAGAGGGAGAGAATTGGAGAGACAGACTGAGCAGATATCTCTACAGACAGAAAGAGATGAGAAAGGAGGGTCTAATGGATTTCCACTGGGAGCAGAGGGGAGAGACTGGGGAGTCAAGAGGGGTACAGAAAATAAAGAGAAATGGGGAGGAAAAGGGGGGCGATACAGTTGCAGAAAATAGAGCAGTTGGTGAAAAGAGAAAAAAGGGGGCAAGAAAGAGGAATGGGCCACAGACCTGCAGATCTAGAAGAAGAATCCGGAGCAGGGGGTGGGACAGAGGTCTGGGGGGAGGGCGGGAACTAGGTCAATCTCTCCAAGATCCCAGACCAAGGGCTGGGAGGGGCAGGGACAGGAACACTCGGACAGGAAGCTAAAGATCTAAAGAGACTATTTTTAAAAGCACCGGGAAAACAGTCAAACTTCGCTGCTGGAGAGGAAAAAGGGAGCGAAGCAGAGCAAGGACGCGCTGGGGTTTCTCACCCACAGCCTCTGTCCCGCTCCACAGCCCAGACGAGGGCGCCGTCTCCTCTAGAGTTGCGAGACTCGGTCTCCGCCTCCTCCCGCCCCTTGCCAGCGCCCCCTGTGCCCGACGCCCCCGCGCCGCCAGCCCGACCACCTCCAGCCCTGTCCCCGCGACTGTCCGGGGCACGCGAGCCTGCTCGGCCGCCGTACCATGCTCGCCGTGGGGCCGCCCCTCCACCGGCACGGAGACTGTGCGTCTCAGCAGTTTGTTGCGGCTGGACTCGCTCCTCCGGTCCCGGATCAGGAGGGGGTGTATCTAGGGGATGCGGGGGTGTGTCAGACCTCACTGGCCCGCGCCGTCCCTCCTCTCCCGCCTCCTCCACGGAAGGCTGGGCCCCTTTCCATTCCGCCTGCCGCCTTCCGCCCCTGCCCCTGCCCACTCTCGCCAGGTGGCTTGGGGTGAGGGGATTTCTTTCCCATCTCCCCGGTCCCTTTCTCTCCCTCTTATATCTTCCCGTTTTCACCCTTTTCTTTGCTCCCTGCATTTATCTCGCAGCACCCCTCAGAGAATTCTCCCAAGCCCTTCTCAGATCTTCCTTCAACTCCTCAGGAGTTAGCTACCTCCTGAACCCAGTTTCCCCTTGACCTTCAGTTCGTCCATTCTCCCTTCTTTTTTCCCAACCTCCCACCTCCCTTACCCCTTCTCTCCCTCCGAGCCTGTCACGGGGGTAGCAGAAGCTGCATTTATAATCAGGATCCACAGCTTGTCTCCCTCCCACGGCCAGGCTTGCGGCCAGACTGGGACCCAACCTCCCCTCCCCCCAGAGGGCCTGGTCACCTCCCCCCACCTTTCATCTACTTCCACCCCCAACCCCCCCACCCCCATCTCTTAGTTCCCTTGTTCCCTTAGTCATTACCTTTCCCTAAGCCTCACCTCCAGATCCCCTGGGCAAATATGTCCAACCCTCCAGTCCTACCAGGACTCACAAGATCCAGAGCCCACCCCCACCAACCCCAGCGTCAATCTCACAACCCATCCAGTTCCAAGTCGAACTGTTCATTATCCTAGTTCTATCTACTTCTTCCCAGCTTCTCCTCCTATCACCTTCCTACCCCAAACTCTAGCCATTCCTGTTGCCCCTCAGCTGCCTGGTCACTGGTCCTCTCAGTCAGTCCCCATTTCTGTCCTTCCCTCACTGCTCCACCCACTGTCCTCCCTCTTTATCCTTTCACCAGTCCCTATTCCTATTGGTTCTAGTTTTCCTAGTCTCCAAATCCCTGGTCAAGGCTGATGACCACTAGTGAATCACTCAAATGCCTTGCAATGTCTAAAACCTAAGACTGCTCCAGAGAGTCACCATGTCCTCTCCTAGACACCTATTCTTTACTCTGTGGTCTGGAAAATCTCTACACAGCTATCTCCACACACTCATCTGCCTCCCAGGACCCTTCACACCCTGATTAGCCCTAACTGCAATTCTAGCCTTGCCTCACAACACCATCCCCAGTAGCTTTCAGGTACATCTCTCACCACTTCTTAGCCTTCCAGGCTACCTACCCTATCACTCTAAAGCTTGTCCCCCAAACACCCTCAACTGCTGAAATCACACCAATGGGGCATCCACCCTTCATATTTGTATCCTGCTTCCTCTGAGGGACCCTCTGCTGCTAATGCTGCTTCTCCCAAATCGGAATCCACATGACCCTGGCTCTCAAATCTTATATGGCCACCACCTCCCATAAGATACATCTGTCTATTTCATCTCCTTCACTCTGGCCAGTCCTTGCCTCTACACCTTTAGGCAACTCCTATGCTCTCAGTTCCCCTCCTCCACAGACATCTCCTCCACTATATTCCTTCTTGATATTCAATCAGTCCCAACAAACCTCAGTGTTTCTCTAAACTCCAATCTCAGGCACCTGCAGTCCTCACCCCATTCAAGCCAAGAACTAGTAACATCTGTATCTTTCCCAGTACCCTCCTGTTCCTTCCACTGTCCTCTGCCTTTTTTCTGAATCCCTCATTTCCCCTTCCTACACTATGCTCAGGAGAAAGGACTGGTGAGTGATGAGTCTTGATCATTGGAGAAGAGGAAAGGGGTCCTCAGGATTACTTTGAAGGGGAGACTTCCCATTTCTTCACCCTTTCTCCAAGCCCTTCAGTTTTTCCTCCCTATTCAAACCTATCCCACAATATGAACAAGATAAAAACAGAAGGCACCCCCATATCTTTAGAGCTATATTTCCTCTCCAAAACTGCCTATGACTTTCAAAAGACCCCCAGGCCAAGATGAGAGAATGTCCTTTTTATCACACCCCAACCCAAATCTCAATGTTACCCTCTTGCTACTGCCTGCAAATGTTTCTCATTACCTTCTTTTTGTCTACCCTTCACTAAAAGGACTCTTCCCATTGTTCTGTCCACATTCTCCCAAGTTACCCAGTGTGGTCTCTTCCCAACCTCCTCACCCTGCTCACCTCGTCCTCATCCAGCATGAGCAGCTGGTTCCCCGAGATGATGCAGAACCGAGGGTTCCAACCAGGACGATCATACGGGGAATGAACGTATTGGGTTCGGTGCATAGGGGGTCCCCGTACATCTGGGGGATGGAGACACACAGAAACAGTAAGGGATGTTCTATGCATTTGGGAGCACAGGCCTAAATGGCAAGAAGCAATTCCACAAAGTGGAAGAAAGGAACCCCACCCGCCTTGAGGAGATCATAGTTGAGGGTAGTACTTAGCAACTTTAAAGGAACAAAAAATAAGCTTTTACATCTAGAGGAAAAAAAGAGGAATCACATCACAGGAGGCTATGAAGACTTGCAGAAAGATTTCAGGGAGGGAAATATATTACGACAGAGAGGAACACAATTGCGGGCAGGGAAAGGTAAAGGAACTATTCATCCACTTGGGAAAAATATAAAGGTGGAGGTGCAGTGCAACTGGTAGAAGAAAAACAGGTTGGTGACAGGAGTCTGAGAAAAGGGAGGGCACTCATCAGATGGACTTAGAAGGTGGAATGAATGTATTGGGAAGCAAGTTTGACTTCAGGGGGTATCTTTCTCCTGGAAGCAGGGAAGAACATAGGGAATTTAGGAGCAACTCTGGGAACAGAAGCACTTGTATGTAAGAGAGTAAGGAGAAAACTATACACAGCTGCGGGGAAGAAGGATGAAGTATGTGAATAAGAACATTTGGGTCATGAGCTTTTGAGAGCTAAACATTTGGAAAAGAGGAAGTGGAGGGCTTTCCTATTGATGGAGAGACCTGAGAGGACCTCCTCCCCCATCACTTCTTCCCCTTCGCCTAGTCCTACCCTGATCATCCTTTGGGAAGGTTCTGGTTCTTCTGGTGGAAGAGAGAACATGGCTTTTGTCATCATCTGGCTATGGAAGAGCCAGGGTGGGAGAAGGTGGGAAATATGTCCTTTGGATGAATAGACCAAATTGATGTCTTTCCCCAGTCCATGTCCAGGCATTAAAGATTCAATACCAATCTCCTCCTCCCCATCTACTGCCCATGGATGGAATGAAAGCCAACTCCACAAGTTAGGAGCCTTCCTGAGGCAAAATGAGGAGTTTAAAGAACAAAAAGAGTATGGGGGGGGGGGGGAACGGAATATCCAGTGACATAGAAATCTCCAAGTTAAGAGCTGGAGATGAGAACAAACCTACCAGAAGAGAGTAACAGCAAATCAGGGGTGGCCCATGCTCAGACATGCCCCAGGGTCTCTCTTCCCCATTTTTGCTATCCTTGCCATTCCCCCCCCCTTCAAAATTCCTCTTCAAATTCCATTGCCACACACCATCACAGGGGGACAGGGGGACAGGACCTATAGGAACGTAAGAAGTCAAATTGGTGTCAGCAAAGTAACAGAAATTAGGCTTAAGGTATCAAGAGTTAGAAAGGGTTTAGAAGCAGAAAAAATAAAATTCGGTCCCATTTATGGGATAATTAACATGGGCATATTGCAGCAGAACTGATCTTTTAGTTTCATTCCAACAGAATGCCCTGAGTAGGAGTTTTGAAAAAGTCCAGCCCCTGTCTGTCTACAAATATACCAGTCAAATTTACTCAACCTGCAGATCAGATGAACCCCCCAGAACATAAATGTCTATAAACCGCAATGCTCTGAAACTTTTACTGTCTCAAGGCCGTCTCAAAGACTCAACAGTCTCTAGATACAATGATCACTGATACCCAATCTGAGACCACAGACATTGCAGGTAACATGCCCACTGCACTCAGGCACTTGGTTCACCCAGAGGAAAAATCTGTTGATACATGTAACTAATGGGAAGAGGAGGTTTGAGCTGCAGTTTAGGGAAGCAAGTTTGACTTCAGGGGGTATCTTTGTCCTGGAAGCAGGGAAAAACATAGGGAATTTATCTTCTGGAAACAGACAAACATGCATACAGACTCTGGAACTTAAGCAAGAATGAAAATGATCTGGGAGGCAAAGGAACATGGCTGAGAAAGAGGGAAATTTTACCAGAATGAGAAATCCTGTAAGAATTCAGATAAGGATCCTTTATAGTCCCTGTTATAAGCATCAAAACCCTCTCTATCTTTGCACCTCAAATATCCAATACCCAAGAAAGTAGAGAAGACAAGAAAAGAGGAATGCTGATAAAAACTTGGGGTACAAAGGAAAGTCAGTAGGCACAGACTGTGGTGACAAGATGGGGAGTGGGACTGGAAATAAGAAGATGGGCCAGGGACAAATAACAGGAAGTATCTAAAAGATAAGGAGGAAAAGATGATGATAAATGCCTAGGGACAGGGGAATACACCAAAAAGGCTCAAACACACATGGGGCAGAAGAAACAAGGAAGACCTAATAGGGAGATTAAGACATGGAGGTCAAGAAGGAGTTCAAGAGACATGGTATAGATATAAGGCGGCTATCAGATACAAATGCAAGAGAGAATGGACATCAGAGTGGGAACTGATATGGGGGAAGGACAGAAGGGGGACTCATATAAGGAACGGACATCATATGGGGGGAAAGATATAAGTGATGGACAGCATAAGAAGGGAGGAGGAATGGAAATAAGGATATGGGGTGGGGGAGGGGGTTAAAAGTGGTGAGATGAAGAGCACAGATAAGACCCCTAGGGTTGCATTTTACTTGTTAAGGAACTTAATGAGGGTCAAAGTGGGAGCAGGATCCTAACCTAGTCCCTAACTTGCATCACTCAATCTTCCTTGTATCTGCCCCCCAAAAATATACACATAATTTGGCCCTTCCCCTACCCTGGCCTCCCCTCCCCCAATCCTTTCCCTCTCTCCTCTCTTCCCTCCATCTGGACCCTCCATCCCCCCCCACTGCCTCCCTCTCTCTCCATCTGGCCTCTTCTTTCCTTTCATCCTCTTCATTTTATAACCCCTACCATTCTAAGCCCCCCACGGTATTCTCCCCTCATAATCTTGGCTTCTCTTTTCACCCCTATGTTTTCATTTCTCCTTCTCATTTTCTCTCCTAAGACTCTGTGCCTCTATTTCCTTGATGTTTTCCCCATCCCTCAGCTCCCACCGCCAAATTATTTCTGTAGCTCTTCCCCCAACCCTATCCTCCTACCTTTCCACCCCTTTCTGGCGCTCTCTTTCCCCTTCGTTTTTCTCTAAGCACCCTTCAAGGCCTGTTTCCTAGCCCCTCCGTTCCTTACCTACCCCTATCCCTCTAGCTACCAGTCTCTCCTTCCCCATGGCTCCCACCCCAGCCTTCCCGGTCCTCCTCTCCCTCCATTTCAGCCGCTCCCTCCCTTCCCTAGCCCTGGCTCTCCCCCGCCCCCTGCCCCTCCCCCTCTTGCCCCCCCATCTGGCCCTCCCCCTCCCCCACCACCGTACCTCTGAAGGGGGCATAGGACATCGCGGGGATGCTCCCCCGATGGATGGAGGCGCGAGACCTGCTCATCAGGCCTGGGGGGAGGGGGCGGGGGACGGGGGAGAAAGAGAAGAGAGAAAGAGGGGGAGAGAGAGGGGGAGAAGGAGGAGGAGGTGGAGGAGGAGGAGGAGGAGAGAGGAGGAGAGAGGAGCAGAGAGGAGCAGAGAGGAGGAGAGAGGAGGAGGAGGAGGAGAATAAGAGCCAACGGCAGCAGCGGCAGCAGAGAGAGAGAGAGGGAGAGAGAGAGAGGGGGGCGGGGGAAGCGAGCGAGAGAAGAGAGCAGGAGGAGGAGGAGGAGGAGGAGGAGGGAGAGACTGCAGCCCCCATCCCTACCCAGGGAGACCCAGGGAGCGAAAGAGAGTGAAAAAGACCCCTGCCTCAAACACACATGAGAGCAAACAGTCATGAAGATCCAGACCCCAGACCCTGAGATTGACAGACCCCAGACTCAGAGAGAGATAATTCATTCTCAACCACAGGCAGGTTAATTTGAGACACAGACCCCAAATCTAAAGGGAAGGAGATCCCTGATATAGGAGGGGGGGAAAAAAAGACCCCAGACCCGTCAGAGGGGAGTCAAAGATCAAGATCTTAAGGATCCACTCTCAAAAGGTTCTTCACAGCCACAGAAATCTTAGATTTCGGGCCCTGTGATAGTGATTTTAGAGACTAAAACCTGAGACCTAGACTCAAGAAAAAGATGAAACCCAGATTAGAAAGACCCAGACCTAGAATTAGGTCTCAGAACTCAGGCCCAGCGAGAGATCTGAGACCCCAAACTCAGATTCCAAGGGAGGATGGGGGAACCAGACTCAGAGACTGTTTAACTCTGAGAGAAATTCCAGTTTTAGTGGGAGACAGAGAAAGAGACACTTAGCTAGCCCAGACCAGGAATTTAGAGACTGAAAACTCATAATAATTTGAAAAACCTCAGGGAGAGTGACCACTGGATCCTGAAACACAGAAGCTCCCTAAACAACATAAAAGAAACTCAGCCCTGAGAAATATTCCAACACAAATATTGGAAAACCCCTCAGAGATCTGAGAAAAGCCCCAAATCCAGAGATCACAGGAGACCCCCAACTCCAGGGAGGTAAATATGAGAGAACTCTGACCTCAGCTTGGGAAACTCCCAGTCACAGTCACGCCCACCATATCAGTGACCCCAGAGGGAGGGGGACTATTGGGTAGCAGAGTCTTTTTGTCTGTTGTCTCCTCCCACTTCTCTGGCCTCTTATTGGCCCCTCTATTTTTGGGTCACTGAATGTGCTTGGGCCCCAGGGAGGTTATGTAGGGCAGGTCCTGGCTCCTTGGGGGATGGGTTAAGGAAAGGAGACCCAAGGCTCAGAGGTGGACCAATCCTGCAGAGGAGAGGGGACAGAAGGACCATCGCTACTCTCCCTAACCTGCAACCCTCAACTCTGATTCAGTCTACCTCAAGCTTTGGGTTTTCAGTTAAGAGTGCCCTTAAGCTCTTCCCATTATCCTATATCCCACTGACAGGGTCTCACCTCTGTCCGATTAAAATGCATCTCTCCTCACCTAGCCACTGTCATGCCATGCCTTCGCCTGCCTAATCACTGCCCCCTACCCAGGGACAGCTGGCATCTCCTCAGATCATAGTTGTTCATTCATCAACCCAGGCACAGCTCAATCCTAATTGAACAGGGGGCGCTCTCTTCACCCCTGAGATTCAGTCTTCTCAGACCCTCCCACTCCTTAAGGCCTCTGAAATAGTGCTGGGGCTGTTACTAGGCACATTCTGGGGTATAAGGACTTCACCGCCTGACGCATAGAGTCTGCGGGGTCTCCGACCCCCCTAGTTCTAGCTTTCTCATCACGTGGCCTGTGGGACTGGCTCGCGATTGGCATCTTCTCATCATTCCGGGAGGTAGAACCGCTCGAGCGGACCCGCCCCCTCACGTGACAGTGGAACGCCGCAGAGGCTCTCCTCCGCCAGCCACTGGCGGGTTTGGGTTTCACGGAAACGAGCGTGCCATTTACGCGCACTTCTGCGGATCCAGCTGTCCATTGGCCAAATCCCCTTCGCTCCTCCCTAATCAGGAGGCGGGGCAATCCGCGCCACGTGAGGGCCAGGATTGGCTGATTCTAGAGACTCCCGGCCCCCTAGCTTCTACTGTCACGTGGGGTGCGCTGTTTTCTTATCACGTGGCTGCCACCCAGGTAAGAAGAGGCCCCTCTTCCTGGGTTTGGGGTCCTTTCTCCGTGTAATGTGTGGCCTTTGATATCAGTCCTCCTTTATCAGTATAGGCTGCATGCGGGGCGGTCGAGCGTCCGCAGCTGTACTCGGCGGAGGGGTGAGTGCCTGGCCCCGCCTCTCCCCTTCCGGTCTTCGAAGTTTAGACCACCCCCCGCACCCCAAATCCCAGGGGTTGGCCCGCTGAGGTGTGAGTGAAAACTGAGTCTTGGGCTTAATTTTCAGGGACATTTTCCTTCAGTGTGCAGAACAAGAAGGGCAGAGCCTGAGGCTCTATCCCAGCCAAAGCATTCTGGGGTGCCATTTCCGGGGGTATTTGTGGGGAAGAGACCGAATTCGCCCCCTGTTCTCAGGCCGCTCTGTTCCTGTCTTGTCTTTGGATGCCTGCGTTGCTGCCTGTGGCCTCCCGCCTTCTGTTGCTACCCCGAGCACTGCTGACCATGGCTTCTGGAAGCCCCCCGTCCCAGCCCACTAGGGCATCTGGCTCTAGCTATGTTCCAGGATCGGTTTCTGCAGCCTTTGTCACTTGCCCCAACGAAAAGGTCGCCAAGGAAATTGCCAGGTGGGGACCTTGGTACAGAGCTAGAAAGTATTGTCATGAAGGGAGAATTGGGGGCGGAGGAGAAGGTTGGTTCTTCCTGCTCTCCATCTTTGGAAGCCATCTCTGGGCTGCCAGAACAAAAGTCCTTTTCCCGGGGCACTCTGAATGGGGCTTTCTCTTCACCTTCAGAGCTTTGGTGGAGAAGCGCCTAGCAGCCTGCGTCAACCTCATCCCTCAGATTACATCCATGTGAGTCATAAGAATTGGAAGGTTAATCTAACTTTAGAGGCTGACAGGGAGCCTTTTCCTAGGGGAAAGTCTTTCATTCCCAAGACTTTCTCTCCCTCTCTTTCTCTGACTTCTTCAGCTATGAGTGGAAGGGAGAGATGGAAGAAGACAGTGAAGTGCTGATGGTGAGAAACATCCCCCACCCCAAATTGCTCCAGTTCCCTTGACCTCTGATTTCTTTCACCTGAGATCACTCTGATGTCTTGATTCAACAGTGTTTTACTTTGCCCCTTAGATGATTAAAACCCAAAGTTCCTTGGTCCCAGCCTTGACAGATTTTGTTCGGTAAGAACTTTTAGATAGGGGAGAGGATGTGGTATTGTGGATTGGGAATTGCTGAGCAGTCTGCAGTTGTCTGAGGGGTGGTCTTCTTAGGGTAAATATTTGAGTAATCATCCTCCTTCCCTATTTTTGCAGTTCTGTGCATCCTTATGAAGTGGCTGAGGTGATTGCCTTGCCTGTGGAACAGGGGAACTCCCCCTACCTTCACTGGGTGCGCCAGGTCACAGAGTCAGTTTCTGACTCCAGCACAGTCCAACCATGATGAGCCCTGTTCCTGCCATGATTCTTTTTTTTTTTTTTAAATTATCTACACATGACATTACAATGATCTTGGCAATTCATACATTTGTATCATTGGGGTCTGCCATGATTCTTTAATTAAAAAAAAAATAACACTCTTGACTTCCACGTGATGATGATGACTGGGCCCCTAATAAATCCTGTCTGGTTCTTATTGCCTTTTGCCTTAATTTCTTGTCACATATGCACATTTGGTTAGGGAAAGTCAGAAGTGTAGGTCTCTGTATTCTGTCCATCTTTCAGACATGACTCATAACCACTAGGTTTGTTTATTTCTCTTTATTTCAATCATACAGAGTCCGGAATCCCTTATCCCTCCCTCTTCAGTCTCTGCACCCAGGGGTTAAATAATTTTAAAAAATATTTAAAAAGCTGTAACAAAATAACATCAAAGGAAATGGGAAGAGGATGAGGGGTCAGGAATCTTGAAGGGGGTAGAGAAGAGAGAGCCTCTTCCCCACCCATCTCCTGGATTCCAGCCTGGCCAATAGGGAGAACTACCCCCTATCTCTCCAGGTACATCCCAGCTGTAGGTGAGGTCAGGGTACGAAAGTGCCGTGTGTGTGAATGGGGAGATGGGCAGAGGCAGTCTGTTCAGAAGATGCCCCCTCCTCCCCACTCAACCAGGTACTGCACAGAGCCATCAGGCCGTACTCTCCGAGCAAGGACCCGGACAGGGTCCCCTCGAGACAGGTAGCCAACCCCACCTCGGACTCCTCCCCCAGTCCCAGGAGACAAACTACGGCACAGGGGAGAAGGGGGTGCTGAGCGTCTAGGAAGACCTGGGGAGGGGGCTGAGACTGAGGAAGATGAGGCAGTCATTGAGTGGGGAGCACTTTTAGGGATGTCTGTGGGGAAGCCAATATGAAGTTCCAGGGGTGACCTAGGGAGAGAATGTAATTCTAAGTTGAAACAGACAGGTGTAGACAAAGACTCACCAGAAATGGGGGCCACTTGTGGATCAGAGGAGCAAAGAAATGGTTTGAGAATAAAAGACCTGTGACCACAGAGGGGAAGGGGTATCGCTGGTAATAAGGGATAGAATCTTACCTGTCTGGGGGTTCACTGTCCCCAGAGGTCCCTGCGGTGCTGGCAGAAGGGTGAAAGGAAGCGAACATCCGGATGGGGCTGCTGGGGTTGGAGAGGAAGAAAGTCAAGACCTGAAGCAAGGAAACAAGATCTTTTCCCCCCAGGGAAATAGACTTTAAACACTACTCCCAGAATACCCTGATCCCCAGAATAATATCGGGTACCAGACATTGGTTCTAGACATCTCACTAGGACAAGTAGTGAGTAACCAAGGGAGAAGGGAAAGAATTCTAAGTGACAAGTCTGGAGGATGTAAAGAACTGGGAGCATATCTGGTTGGGGGGCAGAGGAGCACTAACCTGGGCAAGCAGCGGGCATCGGTGGGCCGGAAGTTGTAGCCGCTGCTGCCCTGGTAACTCTGGTTAGGGCTGGGGGGTGGTGGAGACACTGAGGCCTACAAGAAGGGGCAGAGGACTGAGAGAGAATCTTTGATTCCTTCCCACACCCCATCTTTTGACCCATGGGGTTCCCCATGCCCCTGTACCTGCAGTGCCCTCTGCAGACGAGCCCGCTCCCTCTGCTCCTGGGACTCGGGCTGATTGTGCACTGCTGAGGGTGGCCCCAGCTCCTCCACTTTTCCCTTCTGCCTCCTCCTCAGGGGCTCCGGCTCCGGCCTCCGGCGCTTCCCCAGGGGACGTGAGACCCCTCCCCCAGGGCCCTGCCCTGAAGGGAAGCTGTAAGAGGCCTCCTTATCCCCCCAGCCCCCTCCCGGACACCCCAAAGACCTCCCCAACTTTATACATGTACCCCCCTAGACTAATTCCTGAGAATTTCCCCCATCCTCCCTGGACCAGTGACCTGGTGGGGGCTCCATCTCCAGCAGGGGGATCCACAGGAGGAGGAGTCCGAGCATGGAGACCAAACAAACATTTCCTCTTCTTAATCTCCCTTCCTGAAATGAAACTGGGGCGAGGAGAGAAATGGTATGAGGTTGTGCTGCAAGATTCCCCCATACTATTCTTTAGTCCCTTTCAGAGATGGTCCCCAGGTGCTTGCAGCCTTTCCCCTCCCAGACATCCAGATCTTCATCTCTCTGGGCCTCCCTGCTCCTTCTAACTCACCGGTCCTTGTGGCTGTTAAGAGCAGAGAGAAGCTTGGAAGAACGTTCTCCTTTGGGGGTATCTGAAAGCTGGGGGAAGAGAAAGAAAAAGGTTAGGAGAGCAGTGATTTCCCCTTTCTCTTTATTCTCTGTCCCACCCCAATCCCCCAAATTCCACTATTTCCTACCTCCCCCAGGAGCAGACTGTCCCAGTTCTCAGAGGTGAAAGGGAGGATCTCACGGTCAAAATCAAAGTATTTCTTCTTACAGCAAACACTGAGGTGATAGAGAACAAGATGGGCCACATCCACCCTAGAGAAACATCCAGTTGTTAAGGCCATGAAATAATTACACAAGTTAGGGGAGTTCTGAGGTAAGTGGTTGAGGGCATGTAGGGTGAAGAACTGGGGGTGTTGAGGAAGGAGTTATGCTGAGGACATGCCCAGTCCAGCTTACCAGCGAAGCTGTAGCCTCCGGACCTTCTCAGGGCCCCCCCTGCACACACAGCATTCAAACTCATAGAACCTGGATGTCAGCAAGAGGGAGAACACACACCTTATTTAGGTAAATTTCATACAGACAATGCAAAACTCCCAAGCAAGAGAGAGGTAAGCAGGTGAGGAAAGGTTGCAATAGAAAAAAGCCTGGAATGCAGAGGGTGTGGGGGAACAGGGTGGAGCAGAGCCAGAGGGGGTCCTAGGCTCTTGGAGAGTCTGTGCTGGCCTCACCTGTCCCCATAGAGGAGGGGTTTGCTCAGACACTGGGTGCAGGCCTCATGGAACCATTGCAGGCAGCTCCGGCACTGCAGCATTTTCAGATTCCACCTGTTGGGGAACAGAACTGTGGCCTCCAAATATTTCCTGTACCTGTTTAACTGCCCCAAACTCTCCTTGTCACTTACTTCCCCTCCCCTGCAGTGTTTCCTTCACCCTGTTCTTTCATTTCTCACAATCTACCAACCATATCAATCATTCCATAACCTGTCACCCCTCATTACTCACTCCCCAGGGCCACCACAGTAACAGTAGCTTTGCTGTCGGTTGCTCAGATGTCCAGCGTCCCAGTCCAGTCCCTTTAGTCCATATGGCAGAGACAGCTTCATACCCAGCATGGCCCGGGCATAGGGACCCTTCTTCAGTGCACCCCCCCGCTGCAGAGAAAGAACAGGTAGGAGGCCTCAGAAGGGTAGGAGATGAAAGGCTTAGGAGAGGCTGTAGGTGGGAAGCTCCCACAGTAAAGGGCAACAAAGAGATGCCATTACCTTGGTGGCAATTGCAAAGACACACTGGCGGCAGACCCAGGAAGCGCCCTCTCCTTCTCCAGGGGCTGGGGCCCTGGGAATGTGGCAGTCCTGGTGATAAGCTGAAAAACGACAACGTTTATTGTTGTTATTGTATTGAATGCCTGTGTGTGGCTGGTATGGAGACAGAATAATCTGGGGTGGGTATATTATTCTCATTTTATAAATGAGACAACTAATGCTCCTAGATGTTTGGGGTCTTGCCCAAGGTCATATGACCAAAAAAAAGGATGTGAGCTACCCTCTGCCTACAGAACTTCATAGAATCCTCTCTCTGGCTACCTCTCCCAGTGCTGGAAGGGGATGAGGTTACAGGGTTGAGACTGGCCAGAGTGGTGGCCTGGGAACTTAAACCAGGACAGGGGACATAAGCACCAGTGCTAGAGGAAAGGGCTGGTGGCAATCTAGAAGGTGCAGGGCAAATTGGACCATTAAGGTGGTCTGTCCTCTCACCGTGGCGACACTTCTCACAGCTGACCAGCCGGTTCCCAGGGACCACAGTCTCAGAGCGGCAGACACAACAGAGGAGTTCCTCCCCAGGGAGAGCAGCTGTGAGGGAACATAATGTCAGGAGGCCAGTCCTCAAGTCCTGTTGTGCCCACCAAGCCAAGTTTCTATTTTCCATTGGATGCACAATCTTAGGTTTTTAGGGTCTCACCAGGGCTAATGTCTTTCCAAAGAACCAGAAACTGGGAATCATCCTCAAACTGGACCAGACACACCTCTCGAGCACTGTCCACCTGGAATGGGTGAGCACAAAAGATGAAATAGGAAACACATAACGGGAATAGAGAAAAGGTGAGAGGTCAGAGATTAAAGGTCTTACCTTCTTGATGGTGCCCAAATATAGCAGCCCATCAGTCCATCTAGCCAGCACATCTTGACCCTCCCAAAGTCGAGGCCTGGGGCCTGAGGTGGGAGCAGGGGAAGCTGGGTCCCAGAGAGAGGGGGCACCAGAGCGGCTCAGCCGGGGGGGCTGCGCCATTGCATCCTGGGGTGACCTAAACCGAAACAAGAGATGGAAGAAAGGTTATAAATGCTGAGAAAGCTTCCCCATTTTCCTTGCCTTTTTCTCCTACCACGGACCAAGCAAGCATCTTCAAGCCAGTCTCCGGATCCCTCACATACTTGAATAGGACACAACTGGGCACCACTCCCTAGCTCTTCCAACTCTAGTTGCTGGCTCTCCTCTTCCTAACCCCAACCTCCCAACCCAGTTCTCTAGTTTCCCAGCCTCCAGAGCTCTCCTGGGATATTTAGCTCCTAGCCTTGAGCTCCTAGGAGAAATGACGGCTGCAGAACCAGAGGTTACCACTCAGTTTCACCTTCCCCAGCTGTTTAGAGGTATCATAATTGGGCTACTCGGTTGCTCAGAGACGCTTTTCAGAGTAGAAACACCACTTTCCCCCTAGGCCTGCAGGTCTCACTCAGAACAATCATCCTTGTGCTAGGTTATGTCAGGTCACCCTCAAATTCGGGGCTCCCCGCCCCTGGGTTAGATAACTTCCCCGAATGCCCCGGGAGGGGGGCGTGTCCCAGTCCCGGTCTCTACTCCCCACGACCGCAAGTCCAAGAAGGGACTTGAGCCGGCCCAGCCCGGACCCGAGGCCAGGGTGGCGGGGCTCTCCCGCCCGCGCCCTGCGCGCCGACCCCCGGTTCCCTGCCCCCCCACTGGCGCCTCATGCCGCCTTCTTACCAGTGACAGCTGGGGCCGCCGAGAGCTGGG